ATTGGGGAACAAAGCAGCGACCCTCATCCGTGACGGTTGAACCCTGGTAAGGAGGTTGAATTTTTTCGGAGGCCACTATTATATTAATAAAGAAATAGCGTCGGGAATGGTGTAGGACTGTAGGACTGTAGGACTTTCTGTAGGACTGTAGGACTGTCTGTAGGACTGTAGGACTGTCTGTAGGACTGTAGGACTGTCTGTAGGACTGTCTGTAGGACTGTCTGTAGGACTGTAGGACTGTCTGTAGGACTGTAGGACTGTAGGACTGTCTGTAGGACTGTAGGACTGTCTGTAGGACTTTCTTAAGAACCGTTGTAGGTCTATTTTTTTTAATACTGGCAGGTAGGGCGCATGAATGTCTGCAAGCCTAATGTTTCTAAGCCGTCAGCTATAGGGTGTAGGGTAGGACTATCGTTCAAAGACCGGCAGGTGGGGTGTAGGACTGGCTGTAGGCTTATTGTTTATAGATAAAGAGAAGCTAACTCGTTTTTTGTTGTTGTAACACTCGGACTCATCATGTATTTTCTCAAAATATCCGGACACGGCGTAATAAAACTGCACCCGCTTAAGCCATATCCGCTTAAGCCCTACCCGCTTAAGCCCTATTCTTACACCGCCGTATGCTACGGTTGGCATCAACTGGTGTGGTAGAGTGAATGTTTCTGTCTCGGGTTGATCCTGAAGTGTAGGCCAAAACGTGTCAAAGTGTCCTCGTTTTATAGCCATTTTCATTGTTTCTATAGTATAGTAGTTACTATCCTAGTGTCTCATTTTTATTTTACTTAGTTTACATGTTTTTAATAATTGTAAAGCGCTTCGAGCTTTATGGTAAGCGCTATATAAAAATGCCTAAATAAATAAATAAATACATAAAATGTTTCTCTTTTTGTACATGATGCAGGCGCGCACTTAAAATTCATAAATCTTTCGCTTTTATGTGTTTTATATCTTATTATTTTAAAACGCATACATTTATGTTTGTATAATTTTTCGAAATGCCAATAAAAAAAGCAAAAAATAACTATAATTAACATTTGAACTAATCTCTTGAATTGAACCATTCCATATAAAGCTTGAAGACTCACAGTGAACAAGCAATCTCAATGCAAGGAGAAGAAGGACATGACATAGTTTCTGAAAGACAACACAATCTCCCCAGCGAAGTTCACCAACTAAAGCGTATGACACCAAGGCCCACAACTTCACAAGACGATCGACTCGAGGGGAACGAAACGGGACAGAAAAAACAATACGTTATTTACCTGTGTAATGATAAAAAATACTGTTATGGTCTGGGCGACAGGCAGAGGGGAATCGTCAGTGTTTATCTGCTGGCCGAACTGACCAATCGGACGTTCGGAATCATCATGACGTCACCGTCCAACTTCACCGAGTTCTACAAGCCCAGGCTGGTCAACTGGGACATTCCGTCGTCGGAGCTGGAGGGAAAGACATTCATAGAAGAGGATGTGAGTATCGCAACTTGAACTACCAAATTGATTTGATTAAATCATTCAAACTCACTGTAGCAGATTGCTCAGATGCCACTAGTCAATTTTTTTCTCCTTTAAAAAAAAATTATTGGTCTTCATAAATCACTCTTTAAATCCCGGAAAAAAAATCTCCACGTCTTTCCTTCTACTTTCTTCTTTGAACTTCTTCAAAAACTCTTCAACATAAAGTGCATGCTCTCTCCTCGCCCCCCCCCCCCCCCTCCCTCCCACTTTCTCCCCCCCCTCNATATAAATTTGCTAGTTTTAAAAAAAATCCTATATTAATAATATTATATTTCAAAATATGAAACATATTTTTCTTTAAAATCCTATTGAATTACATATGTTTTCAAACGATTCTGCTGTGTTCCCCAGGCACTGGGAGGCAACTTAGGCCTTCGGCTCAACGATTCAGACTTCAACGCAAACCACCCACAGGACGTGGTCTACATAAGGACCAATCAGAAATTTCACTACTCGCTCAAGAAGAATCCGTTTTACAAAGACAGGTTCCCGAAATGGGCGCAGGTCCCCCACTGGAAGCTGTACCAGGACGGCTGGATGAGGTTGATGACGCCAACGGCGGAACTGAGACGAGATCTCAACGAGATGCTCATCAGGATTGTGGGGGTGATGGAAGAGGAGCAGAGGGCGTGGCACACCGTCAAGCAGACCGGTTGCTGTGATACTGTCAACAATTCAACGACCAGTCGCTGCGTTCACGTCTCGTGCAGTAACGTCACAGGAGACGCCTGCTGCGCTAGAAACATCAGCGGACCCAGCAACGTCCGTGACACTCATTGCACCAATGTAACATGTTTAGATCAACAAAGAACGAACTGCCTCAATAGCACAGGGTGTTTATCTAACTGTACCAATGGCACTAAATGTTTATCGCGCTGTACCAATGGTACTAATTGTTTATCGAGCTGTACCAATGGCACTAAATGCATGCAAAACTGTAGCAATGAAAATTGTTCAGAGAAAATTCACACAAACGAATTTCCATACTCAGACGTTGACAGCCGTTGCGTTGACAAACTTAAAGGTCATTTTAAAAATAGCTCGGAAGTGACGCAAGTTCTTCCCATGGTGAATATGATGTGCAGGTCTCCACCTCTACCACATATATTTGCCACGGTAGAAAACATCCGCCAGAGCCAAGAATACGACTTACAAGACATGAATTTAGTGTGCGCCCACGTCAGGCTGGGATGGAGTAAGACAATGCCGTTTGAAACTAATGTAAGGAACAAAGTAGGGGCGGAGAAAGCCGTCTGGGAATTTCTGAAACCCTACGTGGCCACAGGTCATCACATTTATCTGGCCACAGATTCTGAGCAGGCGAGTCAGCTTTTTTTATTTAACGGGAAATTTTATTTTCGCCCTTTTTAATTAACGTGTTTCCCAATTATAATTGAACAACCCTTATATATAATAAAACGAATATTATAAGTACAATTAAAAAGTAGCGCCTCTTTTTTTTTTTGAGGTCAAATAATAAAATACGAAACATATTTATTTCAAACCGTATTTCTTTAAATTTTAAAAAAGTCACAGTCAAAGTCAAGGATATGTAAGGCAAAAGTCCCAAAGTTATCTTTTGAGGAATTTTTTTAAAGGAACATATTTTTAAATGCATTGAATAGCAGGGGCCCCCCAAAAGACACGTGGCGGCTCTGGAGTCACCTCATCCTCCCCACATCTCTGTACCCCAACCACATCAAGTTAATCACCCACTTCAGGTCTATGAAGACACCATCCAAACCTATTTATTTATATATCTAACCAAATCGATGTTTCTGTACATTTCACCAAACCTATGTTTCTGTATATCTCACCAAACCTATGTTTCTGTATATCTCACCAAATCGATGTTTCTGTATATCTCACCAAACCTATGTTTCTGTATATCTCACCAAACCTATGTTTCTGTATATCTCACCAAACCTATGTTTCTGTATATCTCACCAAACCTATTTGCATTTAGACCTCACTAAACCCATTTGACTTTTGACTTCACCAACATAATTATTTGTAGACCCCCACCAACCAACATATGTAGACGCTCACCAATATATTTATATGTAGACTCCCACCAACCAACATATTTATATGTAGACTCCCACCAACCAACATATTTATATGTAGACCCCCACCAACATATTTTGTCCGTAGATATCACCCATTGCCTGTTGTATACATGCATAACTGTTGTAACTGTCTAACCACAAGGTCCGCGAGGAAGCCAAGAGATTGTTTGGGTACCGCCTCCACATCAGCTCCATCCCAATAGTCCACATCGCCAGTGTACAGAAAGGTCAAGACAAGAGACAAGGATTTGCGTAATGCAGTTGTTTTTTTTCTTTTTTTAAACCCTAAGCCTAATCAATGAAATGTATTTTATCGCCCACTCTCAAACTTTAAAGTGCGACGGACCGACAGAAAGGATCCACACCATCCAATGGATTGGTCATTGATATTTTTAGGATTCTTCGAATTGCAAGGCCTCCTTATTTAAGTTTACATTGTGTGGATTAACACATTGAGAAGGCGCCCACGTTTTAAATAGACCAGAGACATGGGTTGACCGTGCTTTTTCGAAAGATCTTACCCTCTACAGATCTCACTCTTCTACAGATCTTGATCTTCTTCCAATCTTGCTCTTCTACAGATTTTGACCTCTGAAGATCTTGCTTTCTAAAGATTTTTTTCTCTTACAGATCTTGCTCTTCTGTTAATCTTGTACTTCTATAAATCTCGATTTGTACAGATCTTGTCCTCTAAAGATCTTGCTATTTTAAATTTCTTGCTCTTCTATAGATCTTTACAGCTCTTTGCCCAGCTACAGATCTTGCTGCTCTGAAGAAATTGTCGCCTCCCGCCAATCGTATTTCAGATTTATTCATTTTAACATTTTCTACCCATTGGCAGCCCCCCCCCCCTTTTACCCTCCTTCCCTAAATGTGCCGTTCTGGCAGTTACCTTGCTTGCGCCCACTACCCACCCTAGCATGGGAAGCATAGATCAGAGCAATGAACAAGTTCTGGCAGTTACCCTGCTTGTGCCCACCACCCACCCTAGCATGGGAAGCATAGATCAGAGCAATGAACATGTTCTGGCAGTTACCCTGCTTGTGCCCACCACCCACCCTAGCATGGGAAGCATAGATCAGAGCAATGAACAAAACGACAGGTATACAACACAAAGCAATCCTCGTGTTTCTAGAGGACATCATGATGTGATGTACTGAGGGAATAGATTCCTCTTTGATAATTGTGTTATAGTTGAATGACATCTGATGTCTGTAACATCATTAACCGAGTCAACACCACATGTGATACATTATGAAGTTAACAACCCCGTCCCTCCCCCCCCCCCACCCCATTGCTTCATCACGTAATCATATTAAGTATCACACCTTTCTCGTGTTACGGTTGAAATGACTTTCAAGAATTTGTAATACTTAGAATTAAAGTTTTAATAATTTTCTTTTCCCCATTCATCAGGCTGACATTAATGGAACAACTTCTGCTGTCCACTTCCTGTTCCGTCCTGATGGTCAGCTACAGCGGGTTCAGCATGAAGGCAGCTCAGATCAGACACATTCTCAGACCGGAAGCGGACAGTTTGTTCATCTACAGGGCGGGGTTGGTGGTGCCCGTCAAGATTCACAGTCTTCTTTAGTGCAATGAGATCCAGTCGACAGTCCTCGGGCCGTTACCGGTCCTCAGAGATTCGCTGCTGGTCGGAGAAACGTGATTTGATGTATGCGGCATCGATTATTTCTAGCTGTGACATGGGACCATTTATGGTAATCATTGCTGGAATTCCATCGATATGTTAACGAGTTGTATCTTGACGAATCAACTGACGTCACACTAGTACACCTCCCATTCGTGAGATATTGGTCATTGACAGCTGTGACTTCGTTGGAACACTAATAAGGGATCCTCCATTTAGAAGTATGATGCCCATTGAATTGCGGAGGAGTGACAGCAAGTTATCCTCTATTCAGCGGTATGAGGACTATTAAATTGTGTTGGAATGCAAACCAGTTATCCTCTATTCAGAGCTAGGATCCCCATTAAATTGTGTTGGAATGCAAACCAGTTATCCTCTATTCAGAGCTAGGATCCCCATTAAATTGTGTTGGAATGCAAACCAGTTATCCTCTATTCAGAGCTAGGATCCCCATTAAATTGTGTTGGAATGCAAACCAGTTATCCTCTATTCAGAGCTAGGATCCCCATTAAATTGTGTTGGAATGCAAACCAGTTATCCTCTATTCAGAGCTAGGATCCCCATTAAATTGTGTTGGAATGCAAACCAGTTATCCTCTATTCAGAGCTAGGATCCCCATTAAATTGTGTTGGAATGCAAACCAGTTATCCTCTATTCAGAGCTAGGATCCCCATTAAATTGTGTTGGAATGCAAACCAGTTATCCTCTATTCAGAGCTAAGATCCCCATTAAATTGTGTTGGAATGCAAACCAGTTATCCTCTATTCAGAGCTAGGATGCACATTAAATTGTGTTGGAATGCAAACCAGTTATCCTCTATTCAGAGCTAAGATCCCCATTAAATTGTGTTGGAATGCAAACCAGTTATCCTCTATTCAGAGCTAGGATGCACATTAAAATGTGTTGTAACGCCAAGTTATCATCCATACAGAAGTAGGATCCCCAATGAATTGATAGGTACATTCAAATTCAAAGCAAAGGAAGGTGTCCCTGTTGGAGAGAAACCATTGATCTGGACAGATCGTTTCGCATGAGTGTCGGGTGGGAGAACTTGCAACTGTTTGGTTGATAAATTTGGCTTTTAAAACGAACTTATATTTCCACTAAAAAAACAACAACAAACCTTTACATTGAAATATTAAACAGATGTGTTCAAAAAGGAAAAAAAAAAGGTATCAGTGTCAGAGAAGATACTTTAAAACATTATTCCCACTTTGTAGCACGTATTTTGTTAGTATTACTTATGATGGAGTGAACTGAATTTTTTAAAATTCCAAAAATAACTTCAAAAGTTAATTTTTTATTAACGTTAAATTTTTTTGTAACGGTTACATCTCCTTCGCACTTAACCCTCGTGAAAGATAATTTTTATTCGAAAGATGTAGTGGAACAAGTTATATGGAAGATTGAAATATAAAGACAGGACAATAAAAAAGAAGAACGCTTCGACCAAGAGCCTTCCTCAACAAACATGACAAATGAACTCACAGCAAGAAATAAAAAGTAGTTCAAAAACTTGTTAATGCTATTACAGGAGGTTGGGTTTTCCCACCACCAAGATTACATGCAAGTAAAAGAACTTGTGGATCATTCCTGTGAATATATAAACGGACAAAAAAAATATTTTGGAATAATGCAACATATAAGAAATACGAAAAGAAATACAGGAACATTGAAGATCCCTAGTGATAGAGTATTTGATTGATTCCATTTGGTGATACTGATTCCATATGAGGACGTTGATTCCATATGGGGACGTTGATTCCATATGGGGACGTTGATTCCATATGGGGACGTTGATTTCATATGGGGAGTTGATTCCATATGGGGACGTTGATTCCATATGGGGACGTTGATTCCATATGGGGACGTTGATTCCATATGGGGACGTTGATTCCATATGGGGACGTTGATTACATATGGTGACGTTGATTCCATATGGGGACGTTGATTCCATATGGGGACGTTGATTCCATATGGTGACGTTGATTCCATATGGGGACGTTGATTCCATATGGTGATGTTGATTCAAATGGTGATAATGATTCGAAATGCGTCCTGATGCCATTTATCATGCCACCTAGGTGTCCAAACATGAAACACGACAATTGTCTGAGGCTTGTATATCTCTCAGCTACAACGCTTTAAACTTTTTTTTACAATTAATTGTGTTTTCATATCTTAAATTTTGTCTTAGAATGGACGCCCAGACATCTCTTCGCTTCGGCTCATACAAAGAACGCTGCACCACTAATGATCAAATAATCGAGGGACGAAACGGCAGCATATGCTCTACGATTTCCAAGAAGTGCTACTATCAGAATTTCTGTTCCCTGGTCGCTTTCTGGTTATTAAATATATATTTATTTATATATATGTATATNTATATATATATATATATATATATATATATACACACACCGGTATATAACATTTCATGATAACTTATTAAATGTTAAAACTTTCACGCCAAATATTTTGTAATCTTGTACTTGAATTTTTTATCGGTGGTCCGAAAATAGTTTTCTTTATGTTACGAATGTTTAAAAAACAGTTAATTTAAAAACCTACTCCAGTTTCGAGGTGATCTAACATTAGGTAATAATAAGGTTGTGAGGTCAAATTGGGTAATTATAGGGTTGTGAGTTCGCATGGGGTAATAATAGGGTTGTAAGTGAGAATTGGGTAATAACAGAGTTGTGAGTTAACACAGGGTAATAATTTGTCAGGGTAATAATAGATTTCTGAGTTAACACAGGGTAATAATTTGTCAGGGTAATAATAGAGTTGTGAGTTAACACAGGGCATGGGCACCCGCAGGGGGGCAAGGGGGCACTTGCCCCCCCCCCCACCCCTAAATTGATTGGATACAATTTTTTTAGACAAAAATAGACAAAAATGTATTAAAGTAAAGAGAAAATAAAGAGAAAGTAACTAAGCTGATGTCCTGTCGGTTCGTAACCATACAAATACACTACAATGGCCTTCAAAACTGCACTAAAAACATATCTTTTTAAATTATGCTACCCTGACTGATTCCCCTCCTCTGACCGATAAATGATCTTGCTGGCTGCCGTCCATGGTTTGCCTTGTAAAAGTTATGTGGTGGGGTGGGTGAATATACATTGCTGTTCTTTATTTCATAAATGTATTTTATTTTAATGTCATGATTATGTCTCTTTTAATAAAATTTTTATGTACAGTGCAGTGAGCCCAGGGTACCGCGCTACATAAGACGTCTTATTATTAATATTATTGTTATTATTACAGTAAATTAAAACTATATTAAAACATTACTAAATGTTTTTGCCCCCCCCCCCTGGAAAGTTAATAGATTTTTTGACCCCCCCCCCTAGAAAGTTTTCTGCGGGCGCCCATGACACAGGGTAATAATTTTTCAGGGTAATAATAGAGTTGTGAGTTAACACAGGGTAATAATTTTGAAGGGTAATAATATATTTGTGAGTTAACACAGGGTAATAATTTATCAGGGTAATAATAGAGTTGTGAGTTAACACAGGGTAATAATTTGGCAGGGTAATAATAGAGTTGTGAGTTAACATCGGGTAATAATTAATGGGGTTATAAGTTAACATCGGTTAATAATAAATTGGGTTATAGGTTAACATTGGGTAATAATTAATGGGGTTATAAGTTAACATTAGGTGATAATAGGAAGTGTGCAGTGAAAGCTACAAAGCTTCAAAATAAAAAAAAAAAAATTAAAATATTTCAATTTTTAAAAATAAATGTTTAAGTCCTAGAAAATATCGCCTCAAAGCAAAGCAAACAAACAAAATCATTCAAACACAATAAATAGATGTGGCAATGTGCCATTATTTGCAAATGCTTTTAGGTAACATTTTGTAGGCGGCAGGATGGAACAGATAGGAATAAGAGAATTCACTCTCATAGTCATAGTGTGACTGCTAAGGGTAACGCCAAGCACGGACACATCCATGGTCATTTAAAGTAACACACAGCCGTGTACTGGCCTTAAATTTTATGTTGGTTATTTACACGCGGGAATAACCATCCCCTGCCCCGGGGTTGACCCATGGTCAGCTCGAGACGCGGGTTCCCTGTGACAGTGTGTGGGTTGGGGGGGGGGGGCGAACTGGGACTTGGAGTGCGTACATTTTTAGATTGTGGTGTGGAACGGATGCCTCGGGTCGGCGGCAGGTGTGAGAGATTTTCCTGTCGGCTCTGTCAACGGATTGTACCTTACATTAAAAAGCTTTAGTTCTCAGACCTGATTGTTTTATTGGGATTTTATTTAAACTGTAAGCTACGTCACCACTCGGCTACCATATAGAATGGTGCTCAAACGATTAAAGTAATAAAACATGGAATATAACCATGAATATATAAAACAAATGTCAAATATGACCCACTCGTGCCCATTTAGTACACTCTTAAGTTTGTTAAGTACACAATTGCACCCATATTAACTCAGAAAGACTATGTTAAGTTTAATCAGACCATGTACACATTAGAGAGTCTCTTTAGTGGAATTTTTTGTTTTCTCTTAAGGTTGATTTATTTCTCGAGTCTTGCATAAATATCAGGTCTTAACTGTGTGCAGCTTTTTTTGACACTGGGTCTGGATATTTTGAGAAAACACTCGGCGGGTCCAAGGGTTACAAAAAAAAATATTTTGAGAAAACACTAGGCGGGTCCAAGGGTTACAAAAAAAATATTTTGAGAAAACACTCGGCCGGGTCCAAGGGTTACAAAAAAAATATTTTGAGAAAACACTCGGCGGGTCCAAGGGTTACAAAAAAAAATATTTTGAGAAAACACTCGGCGGGTCCATGGGTTACAAAAAAAATAACAACAACAAAAAAAAACAACAAAAGTTAACTTCTCATTTTTTAAAATATTGTTTGACAAAATCGACTGCCCTGTGTCGTAGCGAGAGTGCTTTGCCTTCGTCAAGCGTTTGTGTCAAGAACTGACCTACTGATAGGAACAGGCCGTTGCCGGATCCCGGAACAGAGATGACATTGTCCAAAAAAAAATAAAAAATAAAACTTTGACAGAGAAGATGATGTAGTTCTTTTTTTTTAAACAAAGACTTAGGAAGCAACAGCCGCGGTATAACGAAAATAGCAATACCTTCCTGTACTAGGCTACTCACAGGCGTACACGTGCCCGAAGTGAAAGGACGGCGCCCATGGCCCAGTTCTGTGTGGTGTGCAGCCCCAGAACAAAGATCTGAAAAAACAGTGACATTAACACCCCCCTCCCCCCCCCAAAAAAAAAACAACAAATAATAATAAAAAAAACAACAAAAAAAAAAACAATTCCTTTCTAAAAAAAATAAAAATAAACATATTTTCCGGCTTTCATGTGTTACGCTTGGGGGTCTATGTGTGACAGAGGAGCATGAACAATAGCAACACCGAATAATTAGCGCCACCACCTAAAGAAAAAAAAATCAACCAATTGACCGGAGTTCACACGTCGCGCATGAAGCTCGCTGCGTGACAGTCATTTTTCACTTCAGTACTATTAATTCAAAACATGTGCGTGGTGGGGGGTGGGCAGAGGCGTAGCGTGGTGGGGGCAGGGGGGACAGATGTCCCCGGGCGCCAGCTAGTTAGGGGCGCCAAAATGTGCTTTGATAATATTTTATTGATGAAAATAATGGGTTTGAGAGTTGAAAAAAAGAAAAAGGGGGCGTTAAAAATGGATCTTGTCCCCGGGCGCGAATCTTGTCCCCGGGCGCCAAACACCCTCGCTACGCCACTGGGGGTGGGGGTTTTAAAGAGAAAGCAGCAGGATGCAACAGAAGCAAGATATATCATATAAAACCCGTAGACACGGGTCAAGCGGGTCAAGCTTATGTTTAATAAGATGCATATGACTTTTAATGCATTGTCCAAATATAGCGGTGGTTCATTATTGTAGACCGATCGTGTGGATGTTCTGAATTCAGTCAAAGTGACAAGCTTCAAGTAGAATTTACACGGAAGCAATGGGAATATGCCAAGAGTGTTGCAAAAGGGTAGCATAATTTTTTTTAAATGGCCAAAAAAAAAAAAGAAAAAAAGTTTCCCATCTGAATAGAAAAACAACTTTGCATGTCTGAGGTTGTTGTGTTGCTTTAAACTCTTAAGGTTGAACTATTTTTTTCTAATCTCCCGTCCAAAGCTACCTTGGCCTGTGGGAAAACACCATACAAAGGAACGTTATGCACTATACAGGTTTACCTGCAAACGGAAGAAATCTTCAAACGGTACGATGACAATAATAGGTAAGTCATGGTATCCGGGAACTCGGAACATAACAAAGTACACGCGTATCAATAGGCCAGCGGGTCACAAGATGAAACACAACAACCGTTGAGATAAGAACGGTGGCCGCGAATGCGCCTCCTCACCAGGCCATGTTGTTAGACGACCCGTCCCCTAAGTTTGAGCGAGCTGTAACGGACCTGTGTGTACGGAAATTGCGTTTGATATTACTTTGCATTTTCAATGAGATATTGACTCTCTTTTACTGCTGCTGCGTAAGGATAGGGCAAAGACACTTTCCAGTGAGCATATTATCACGCTGTGCTGTGTAAGGATAGGGCAAACACACTTTCCAGTGGGGATATAATACTTTGTGCTGTGTAAGGATAGGGCAAACACACTTTCCAGTGGGGATATAATACTCTGTGCTGTGTAAGGATAGGGCAAACACACTTTCCAGTGGGGATATAATACTCTGTGCTGTGTAAGGATAGGGCAAACACACTTTCCAGTGGGGATATAATACTCTGTGCTGTGTAAGGATAGGGCAAACACACTTGCCAGTGGGGATATTATAACGCTGTGCTGTGTAAGGGTAGGGCACACACCCTTGCAAGTGGGGATATCATAACGCCGTCCGGAAAGGATAGACCAAACACTTGCAAGTATTCAACATTGTGATTCCTGGGGCTAGGACATGATTTGTATCCGAAAGTAAGTCCTAGATACTTTTTATATCAAATTGTTTCTTTCAAGTTTGAGCTTGCTGCTGTGTTCTCCCATCTAGGGCAATGCTCAAAACCATGCAATATTGACTGCATCTTTTTTTGGGATGCAATAAAACACATGTTTATTGAAATAAAATGAATGAAAAATTAAAAGCAACCTATTTTAGGAGTACATTTGGTAATTTAATGCAAAATGTACAGGGGGCGACAGTCATCGTATACAATTTGACATCTTTTAATTAAGGGTATAGATAATCATGAATTTTAACAAGCAAATGTGGCGTTTGTTCGATCACCATTCCGGCCATTCACACTGCGTTAGTTCGATCACCATTCCGGCCATTCACACTGCGTTAGTTCGATCATCATTCCGGGCACCCCTCCCCCACTTCAAAATGTTAAAATAAAAAGTACAACGGTCCTATTACGATGTCCTAAAATTCAAATTAATTCAGTTCTTTTTTAAAATTTAAAAAAAACATTTTTTTTAGAAAAATTAATAAAATAGGTTTTGCTGTGGTAAAAAAACATGTTCCTGTGATGATGTCATCTCTATATGTCTGTAATAGTGTCATCTCTATATGTCTGTAATAGTGTCATCTCTATATGTCTGTAATAGTGTCATCGCTATATGTCTGTAATAGTGTCATCGCTATATGTCTGTAATAGTGTCATCGCTATATGTCTGTAATAGTGTCATCGCTATATGTCTGTAATAGTGTCATCACTATATGTCTGTAATAGTGTCATCGCTATATGTCTGTAATAGTGTCATCGCTATATGTCTGTAATAGTGTCATCGCTATATGTCTGTAATAGTGTAATCGCTATGTGTCTGTAATAGTGTCATCGCTATATGTCTGTAATAGTGTCATCGCTATATGTCTGTAATAGTGTCATCGCTATATGTCTGTAATAGTGTCATCGCTATATGTCTGTAATAGTGTCATCGCTATATGTCTGTAATAGTGTCATCGCTATATGTCTGTAATAGTGTCATCGCTATATGTCTGTAATAGTGTCATCGCTATATGTCTGTAATAGTGTCATCTCTATATGTCTGTAATAGTGTCATCGCTATATGTCTGTAATAGTGTCATCGCTATATGTCTGTAATAGTGTAATCGCTATGTGTCTGTAATAGTGTCATCGCTATATGTCTGTAATAGTGTCATCGCTATATGTCTGTAATAGTGTCATCGCTATATGTCTGTAATAGTGTCATCGCTATATGTCTGTAATAGTGTCATCGCTATATGTCTGTAATAGTGACATCGCTATATGTCTGTAATAGTGTCATCGCTATATGTCTGTAATAGTGTCATCGCTATATGTCTGTAATAGTGTCATCTCTATGTGATAGTTTAGATACAATTAAAATCTCTTAGACAATCCGACAGTCGAACATGATTCGTAAACACAAATGGAAGAGCGAACCGTCATTATACAAGACAGGACATGAGTCGTACACACAAATGGGAGGGCGAACCGTCACAGCAATTAAACAAGACAGGGCGCTAGTTTTGGTTAACTGCTAACCTAACAGTACCTTACACAGTTAAACAATTCGGTACAAATGCGCCAGGCTACGTAATGTACCAGATGATGTGTTGTGGAAGACTGTGCTGACTGTTGTACCTTTTTTTACACATCGGTCCGGCAAAATTAAACACTGTCTTATCGTGTACCTTCATTATATCAGGCTGTGACGTATACGAGTATACGCTTTTTTCGTGTTGTACCAGATTTGTGCTGTACATTAATTTTGTGTTGTACTGGGGCTGTGCTATGCGGCTTCATTGTCTTGCACCGGGAAATGCTGTCTCGTACCATTTGTTTGGCACACCGAATAAAAGTACTCCCCACACCGCACATTGACAGACGACCTGTCAGCGACACGTGTTGTTTCCGATAGGCAAACAAAAGGCTTAAACAAACTCACACAGGTTGTACAAACAGACAGACCCGCTGTGCTGAGGTCAGACTACGGGTTAGACATTGCGGACACCGTTGGCAAATTTGGGGTACTTCGGAATTTTAATGGAGTTTTAATAAGTTCCAACTTTTCACAACTCACGGCACATTGAACTTGCCACGAATACGGCACATGGAGCACGGCACTATAAATTGGTAAAGAATACGGCACACGGAGTACGGCACAATAAACTTGCAACGAATACGGCACAAGGAGTACGGCACAATAAACTTGCAACGAATACGGCATACGGAGCGCGGCACAATAAACTTGCAACGAATACGGCACACGGAACGTGGCACAATAAACTTGCAACGAATACGGCACACGGAGCGTGGCACAATAAACTTGCCACGAATACGGCACACGGAGCGCGGCACAATAAACTTGCAACAAATACGGCACACGGAACGCGGCACAATAAACTTGCAACGAATACGGCACACGGAGTGCGGCACAATAAACTTTTAACGAATACGGCACACTGAGCACCGCACAATAAACATATAACAAATACGGCCCACTGAGCGCGGCACAAGGCATATTAAACATTTTCCCCCATTCATCCATGCTCCTTTCATTCCTTCTATACCTCCATCCATCCATTCTATCTATACACCCATCCTTCTTTCTATATATCCATTCAGGCTCCTTTCATTCTATCTACTTATCTATCCACTCAGCCTTCCTTTTTTTTAATCCATCCATGCTCCTTTCATTCTATCTAACTTTCCACCCAGCCTTCTTTCTATCTATCCATCCATGCTCCTTTCATTCTATCTAACTTTCCACCCAGCCTTCTTTCTATCTATCCATCCATGCTCCTTTCATTCTATCTAACTTTCCACCCAGCCTTCTTTCTATCTATCCATCCATGCTCCTTTCATTCTATCTATCCATCCATGCTCCCTTCATTCTATCTAACTTTCCACCCAGCCTTCTTTCTATCTATCCATCCATGCTCCCTTCATTCTATCTAACTTTCCACCCAGCCTTCTTTCTATCTATCCATCCATGCTCCTTTCATTCTATCTATCCATCCAACCTTCATTCTATCTATCCATCCATGTTCCTTTCCTTCTATCTATCCATCCAACCTTCTTTCTTTCTATCCATCCCTGTTCATTCATACTTCATTCCAGCCTTATTTCTATCCATCCATCCATACCTCTCTCATTGTATCTATGTATCCATACAGTCTTCTTTATATCTACCCATCCATGCTTCTTTTATTCTACCCATCCATCCATTATGCAAACATCGACCCACTCAACCATTCATATGTGGACCATCCTTCGAACATCATCAGAACATCATCAGAACACCATCAGAAAATCATCAGAACATTATCAGCACATCATCAGAACACCTCAAAAGACTGAGTATCCCAATAAATATATCTTAACCTTAACATTTAAAGTAAACTTTGACCTTCCAAAGGTTGAAGACCTGCTGGAGACCCTCGACGCCATGTTGCCTTCTCGTGGCGGCCATGACACTCATTCTGGCCAGCTTCATCGTGTTGCCCCATCTCCTGCCTCAAAACATCCGGTACAGGGATGCCGTCGAGCTGACCTACCGCCTTGCAGCTCATTTATACAGGTAACTAAACTAATCAGGGGTGGCAACTTTATTGATCTGTTGGCTTCTGGGAGGAGTTGTTGGTCAGCGTGACTTACAGACTTACTTTAAAAAAATTAGTCTACGCCTGGCACCGGACGAAGGGCTTGCCAGTTACTGCCGCGTCAGACAAAATGGCCTGGGTATGTGAAGACTCTCTCAACATTTCTGACTGGTTAACTAGTAGCAGTATAAAATCTTTGTGTGTTCCTTGTGAATTTTGTCGACCACCTACATTACCATTGCATTAACCACCTACATTACCATTGCATTAACCACCTACATTACCATTGCATTAATCACCTACATTACCATTGCATTAACCACCTACATTACCATTGCATTAACCACCCACATTACCATTGCATTAACCACCCACATTACCATTGCATTAACCACCTACATTACCATTTTTATAAACCACCTACATTACCATTGCATTAACCACCTACATTACCATTTCATTAACCACCTACATTACCATTTTTATAAACCACCTACATTACCATTGCATTAATCACCTACATTACCATTGCATTAACCACCTACATTACCATTGCATTAATCACCTACATTACCATTTTTATACACCACCTACATTACCATTGCATTAACCACCTACATTACCATTTTTATAAACCAACTTCATTACCATTGCATTAATCACCTACATTACCATTGCATTAACCACCTACATTACCATTTTTATAAACCACCTACATTACCATTGCATTAACCACCTACATTACCATTTTTATAAACCACCTGCATTACCATTTTTAAAAACCACCCACATTACCATTGCATTAACCACCTACATAAATTTTTTTATAAACCACCTACATTACCATTGCAATAACCACCCACATTACCATTGCATTAACCACCTACATTACCATTTTTATAAACCACCTACATTACCATTGCATTAATCACCTACATTACCATTTTTATAAACCACCAACATTACCATTGCATTAATCACCTACATTACCATTTTTATAAACCACCTACATTACCATTTCATTAACCACCCTCATTACCATTGCATTAACCACCTACATTACCATTTTTATAAACCACCCACATTATCATTGCATTAACCACCTACATTACCATTGCATTAACCACCTACATTACCATTTTTATAAACCACCCACATTACCATTGCATTAACCACCTACATTACAATTTTTATAAACCACCTACATTACCATTGCATTAATCACCTACATTACCATTTTTATAAACCACCAACATTACCATTGCATTAATCACCTACATTACCATTTTTATAAACCACCTACATTACCATTTCATTAACCACCCTCATTACCATTGCATTAACCACCTACATTACCATTTTTATAAACCACCCACATTACCATTGCATTAACCACCTACATTACAATTTTTATAAACCACCTACATTACCATTGCATTAATCACCTACATTACCATTTTTATAAACCAACTTCATTACCATTTTTATAAACCACCAACATTACCATTGCATTAATCACCTACATTACCATTTTTATAAACCACCTACATTACCATTTCATTAACCACCCTCATTACCATTGCATTAACCACCTACATTACCATTTTTAAAAACCACCCACATTACCATTGCATTAACCACCTACATAAAATTTTTTATAAAGCACCTACATTACCATTGCATTAACCACCCACATTACCATTGCATTAACCACCTACATTACCATTTTTATAAACCACCTACATTACCATTGCATTAATCACCTACATTACCATTTTTATAAACCACCAACATTACCATTGCATTAATCACCTACATTACCATTTTTATAAACCACCTACATTACCATTTCATTAACCACCCTCATTACCATTGCATTAACCACCTACATTACCATTTTTATAAACCACCCACATTATCATTGCATTAACCACCTACATTACCATTGCATTAACCACCTACATTACCATTTTTATAAACCACCCACATTACCATTGCATTAACCACCTACATTACAATTTTTATAAACCACCTACATTACCATTGCATTAATCACCTACATTACCATTTTTATAAACCACCAACATTACCATTGCATTAATCACCTACATTACCATTTTTATAAACCACCTACATTACCATTTCATTAACCACCCTCATTACCATTGCATTAACCACCTACATTACCATTTTTATAAACCACCCACATTACCATTGCATTAACATCCAACATTAACATTTTTATAAACCACCTACATAACCATTGCATTAACCATCTACATTACCATTTTTATAAACCACCCACATTACCATTGCATTAACCACCTACATTATCATTGCATTAACCATCCGCATTACCATTGCATTAACCACCTACATTACCATTGTATTATTATGTGTGTTTCAACATGCTGTGCTTTTCTTTTTACTTCGACACAACATTATGGGGGACATATATCAGTTGCGTCTGCTATGTCCATGGTAAACCTAAAAATAGAAATGTTTAGGGGGGCCTCCCCCACAACTCAACCCCATCACCCCACTCCCACCACTCACCCCACCACTCACCCCCACCACCCCACTCCCACCACTCACCCCCACCACCCCACTCCCACCACTCAACCCCACCTACCACTCACCCCCACCACCCCACTCCCACCACCCCACTCCCACCACTCACCCCACCACCCCACCACTCACCGCCACCACCCCACCACTCACCCCCACCACCCCACCCCCAACACTCACTTCCCTTTGATGTCATGAGCACGTGGTTATTTTGATCAATAGCTAATCCAAACGGGCCTTCTGGAGTGCACGTGTTGTTGATGCAACGGTTACAACAAACAGGGTGTTACAATGTATACCATGATACTTCATCTTGTCTGAATCATGGTGTGGCTTAATCAACGGTTCCCAAATTGTGAATGTATTTGATCAAGAAAAAAGGTAACCCAGGACGATAATCAGTTACAAAGTTGACATGTTGTGATTTCATCAAGTTGTAGTTATGTTGAGGTTTGCTCATGTTGTAGAAATGATGTGGTTTCATCTAGCTGTAGATATGTTGTGACTTCAGCAATATGTAGATATGGTTTAGTTTTATTCAGACGTAAATGCCGTATATTTTCAGTTTCGTTGGAACCTCTTGCCACCAAAGTAACCATCCTGTTGTATCCTGTGTGTTATAGCAGGTCAGGTGTGTTTTAGCCTCTAAGTGTTAAACTAAATGGACCCAGACATGCAACGGTACCATTAGACTCAAGCTATTCGGATGTGACTTGTGGCAGTTTATTTTAGTTAAACTGAAAAATTAAGTTTACATACATATATCCCATTCAATTATCTTTCATTTGATACGTAGTTTTGCCTTACAAACCAAACAATAAAATTTAAATAGTTTTTTTTTAATCCCAACCTCTCACTTCAGGTACCCGGGTACGAATATTCGCAGCAAATCTTAACACAGATTAAATTTGCAAAGCCATACAACTGTGTTTGACAATCCCAGTACTTGATAACACCTGGGTTAATTACAAGATAGCATTGGTTTCCAGGGCATGGTCTTAAGGTGTGTAACACATGAACTATTGGGGCCACGTGCAGTGATTGCGACAAGACTACAATATTAAATTTAAACCAGTATACAAGGCCTTTCAAGGGGAGACCGGCAATAATCTAGGATCTAAAATGCGAGGCGAGGTTTGCCTCCGTCGTGTTGCAGGCACGCTGTCTGCTCTCGGGCAGTCGGGGAAGTGGTCCAACAATACGCGGATGATTTTGTTGAAACATTCGGTGGACCAAGTGACGTATCACGTAAAAGGCGATTCGGTAACGTGCGGATGGTCGGTGGATTCCTGACCAAGCAGCCATTGCAGCATCTTACCGTCAGTACGGTTTATGGCAAGGGTCCGCATACTACGGCACCTATGGCCAGGCTTGGCACGCGTGTCTGATTAGAACACAGAGCGGTTTTGACTGCCATGCGGAAGTCCAACACATAATAAATGATGACAATTTAAAAAAAAAAAAATAGAATAAAACTCTAACTTTATAAAGTAGACATTACGGTGGCGGCCACGCTGAAGGGATTACAAATGCTACTTTGGCGCATTCTTACCAACAGGTTCCCGGGCCTTTGTTCTACGGTACACGACCCAACAGAAGCTGCTGGTCGCCATGGTGTTAGCAGCGACCACAAGCTCATTGGCCGTTTCAAGATCATGACTTTCTGTTAGTGTACAAGCAATTTGTTCAAGCCGTTGTCGGAGTCGCTAGATAGCGTGACAAAATCGTTAAATTTTAAGATGTAAAAAGTGAGCTGATATTTGAGTTAATTTATTACTCTGTCTTTTCTTTTATTAAAAGAACATTTTAAAATATTTTTTCCCCCTCCTAACACATCCGAGAGGTACATTTAAATAATATTTTATAAGAGAGTATCACACGCAATTTATGATTTTATTAGCATTATTATATATTTTAATTACATTAGGAATTTCACAGACCGAAAGAAAGTCACAGACCTAAGGTAAGTCACAGACCTAAAGTAAGTCACAGACCTAGGGTAAGTCACAGACCTAAAGTAAGTCACAGACCTAAAGTAGGTCAAATACCTAAAGTAAGTTACAAACCTAAAGTAAGTCATAGGCCTAAAGTAAGTCACAGACCTAAATTAAGTCACAGACCTAAAGTAAGTTACAGACCTAAAGTAAGTTACAGACCTAAAGAAAGTAAGTCACAGACCTAAAGTAAGTTACAGACCTAAAGAAAGTCACAGACCTAAAGTAAGTCACAGACCTAAAGTAAGTCACAGACCTAAAGTAGGTCAAATACCTAAAGTAAGTTACAAACCTAAAGTAAGTCATAGGCCTAAAGTAAGTCACAGACCTAAATTAAGTCACAGACCTAAAGTAAGTTACAGACCTAAAGTAAGTTACAGACCTAAAGAAAGTAAGTCACAGACCTAAAGTAAGTTACAGACCTAAAGAAAGTCACAGACCTAAAGTAAGTCACAGACCTAAAGTAAGTCACAGACCTAAAGTAGGTCAAATACCTAAAGTAAGTTACAAACCTAAAGTAAGTCATAGGCCTAAAGTAAGTCCCAGACCTAAAGTAAGTCACAGACCTAAAGTAAGTTACAGACCTAAAGAAAGTAAGTCACAGACCTAAAGTAAGTCACAGGCGCACAATTTGAGTCAAAAATTGCTCAACCCTTATCTGAAGTTATCTATAAACAGTATAGAAAATGACCGTCCCATGTAATCTGCTAGAAACTGGACCTATGGTGTTTTTATAATGCCCGCACCCCGTACACAACGAAAGCACGGCCACTAGATTTGTTTCATACACAACAAAAGTCTAAGAACATAACTTTTACTAAGCGATGAAAAACAAAATGGTAAAAAGTTGTTTAATTACAACAACAACAAAAATTGGAAATCAGTAGCATTTTAAATTTCAATTTTTTCTTCAGCCCAGAAACGACAGAGCTCACCTTCAAACAGGCGAACGGTCGCAGTCACAACACAACACAGTACAACACAACACACATCAAATGGAATAAAACGACCGAAAAGTCGATCAACAAACGAACGGCTCCAAGTGAACGCACCGCGGGGGTGAAACGGTCCGGAGGAGGTGACTCAAAGCGGTACCTGATCTACCGGTGCGATGACAAAGAGTACTGCTACGGTCTGGGCGACAGGCAGAGGGCGATCGTCAGTGTTTATCTGCTGGCTGAACTGACCAATCGGACGTTCGGAATCATCATGACGTCGCCGTCCAACTTCAGCGAGTTCTACAAGCCCAGGCTGGTCAACTGGGACATTCCGTCATCGGAGCTGGAGGGAAAGACATTCATCGAGTTAAAGGTACAATTTATTCTTATTTGTTGATTATGTTCTTAGTGGGGGGAAATTTCATTATTTAAAATTGTGAATTGTTTAATATTTTAATTTTTTTCTTTTAAATTATAAAAATATGAATACATGTTACGTCCCAGATTTGTGTTCTTGGGAGTTAGGGGTCATCGGAAACTACTGGAAACAATTTCTATATCAGTGGTACCATTACCAAACTGGTGGCTTGCGCACAAAATGTGATTTCAATTGAGAGTATGTCTGCACAGCTACTTAAAGATAACAACGCCAAGCTCACAAAACCAAAACGATTTTGTCATTCATATAATTGTTCGATATTTTCATAAAACGTTTTCCGGGAATAGTTATTTCCCTTCTCATTACATTTAAAATTAAGAACAAGAGAAAAAAAAAGAACTAAAATATTAATTGTAATACATGCACTATAAATTTTAAAAAAATGTAATGACTTTACACCCCCCTCCACCCCGCCCCCCCCCCCTCACAGGTTCTAGGACCCCAAGCAGACATCAAACTTGATCGGGTGGATATAAACGTTGAATATCCACAGGACGTGGTCTACATAAGGACCAATCAGAAATTTCACTACTCGCTCAAGAAGAATCCGTTTTACAAAGACAGGTTCCCGAAATGGGCGCAGGTCCCCCACTGGAAGCTGTACCAGGACGGCTGGATGAGGTTGATGACGCCAACGGCGGAACTGAGACGAGATCTCAACGAGATGCTCATCAGGATTGTGGGGGTGATGGAAGAGGAGCAGAGGGCGTGGCACACCGTCAAGCAGACCGGTTGCTGTGCTGCGGTCAACAATTCAACCAATGGGGGCGTCCCTGTTTCGTGCGGTGCCGCGAGTGAACTGAGCAATGTTGCAAACAATACACACATAAATAGAACATGTTTAGAACAGCGAAAGACCACCTGTATCCGCAATGGCACCAAGTGTACACCTCAATGTACGAATGGTACAAATTGTACAACTCAATGTACCAATGGTACAAAGTGTACACCTCAATGTACGAATGGTACAAAGTGTACACCTCAATGTACCAATGACATTAAGTGTACACCTCAATGTACGAATGGTACAAAGTGTATACCTCAATGTGCCAGTGTAACTAAACAGTGTATATATAACTGCACTAAGAGTTTATCTAACTGTACCAATGAGAAATGCTTAAAGAACACGTTACAGAACGATAACTCGACGTGTTCGAACAATGGCAGTCATTGTGTTGAAGTACTGCGTAGTCAATTTAAAAATAGCACGGACAAATCTCGTGTGCCTTCCATTGCAAGAAATCTTTGCAGTTCGCCATTTTCCTTATCTAAACAACATAATGTTTCCGTGGAAAGTGTCCGTGTGTCAAAAGGTTACGATGTACAAGACATGAATTTAGTGTGTGCCCACATACGGCTGGGACACAGCTCATCGATGCCGTTTGAGACCAATGTGAGAAACAGACCCGGTGAGGAGAAGGTGGTCTGGGAATTCCTCAAGCCGTACGTGGCCAATGGCCATCATGTTTACCTGGCTTCGGATTCTGAGCAGGTAACCACAATCCATTTTTCTGTAATCGCCGGAAATGACGTTTGATTTTTAGAAAATTGTTTAGATTTCTTTAGAGATAATAATTTTTGTTTTGTTACGTCGGTAATACTTCTAAAAGGAGTTTTAGCACATGAAACTGTATCACATGAAACGGTATCACATGAAACTGTAGCACATGAAAATATAGCACATGGAACTCTAGCACATGTGTACACTCTATTTCAGAAATAAATATAATGTCTTTTGGGGAATTTTGGGGTAGGACTAAAAAAGAACGAAGATATGTCAGGTTTTGAGCAACCAACTGGGCTGCTCAAGGATATATGACAGGAGTATGGCTGGAACTCACGGGTAAATTAACCAGAGTATGACAGGGAATCAGTGGTATGAAGGGATTAAGATGATTAACAATGGGTGTGACGGGAGTAAAACACTCACGGCTTTGCGTGGATATGTTTGAGACACTGGTGTAGGGCAGCGTTTCCCAAGTATTATGTTTGGCGGACCGGTGGACAAGTGGACCGGTGGACAAGTGGACCAGTGGACAAGTTTCGAAAATGAATCAGGGACCGGTTCCATATTTATTTATTATATTTTCTTTATTTGATCATAAATATTGATGTTGTGCGGACCGGTGTCATTCCATGGTCCACCATTTGGGGATCGCTGGTTAAGGGTAGGCCAGGGTCTGATTGGAAAAGGGGTGGGGGGGGTCTTACTTTAGGGGCAATGACAGGAAATGACGAATTAAATTATAAAATTTAAAATGCTACCCAATTATAAAATTGTTGTATATTTGTCCATGATTCCACGTCATCAACAGGTTCGCCAGAAAGCCAAGGCTTTGTTTGGCTACCGACTCCACATCAGCTCCATCCCAATAGTCCACATCGCCAGTGTACAGAAAGGTCAAGACAAGAGGCTGGGATTTAGGTAACATATTCTGTAGGGGATTTCATACCAACGTAAAATGCTATCGTCTCATTCGCTAATATATTTCAGTCTAACACCCGATTGCCATTGTCTAAAAATAGTGACATTACGTAACGCGATGTGACGTTTTCCGGTCTTAGGAATAACAACAAACCCTATGCTATGTATTGATAATAATATTTCACAATAACATTATTTTCTTAATCCCGCAGAGATTATTTTTAAAGTTTATAAAGGAAATGTTTAATAGGGAATAATTTAAATGGTATCATGTATGACGTCCCCGGTCTAACTTATTGAAGTCTGGACTTTGCCTTAACGTTATACAAACAAATATTTGACTCTGACTCAACTCATTTTTTTTACATTTCTTGTAGGCTCGCATTAATGGAACAACTTCTGCTGGCCACTTCCTGTTCCGTCCTGGTGGTTAGCTACAGCGGGTTCAGCATGAAGGCAGCTCAGATCAGACACATTCTCAGACCGGAAGCGGACAGTTTGTTCATCTACAGGGCGGGGAAAGTAGTACCTGTCCAGATTCACAGTTTGCAATAAGGTCACATACCAATACGCATGATCCTGGCTATGTGACGTAGACATTCAGCCAAATACGCATGATCCTGGCTATGTGACGGAGACATTCAGCCCAATACGCCTGATCCTGGCTATGTGACGGAGACATTCAGCCCAATACGCATGATCCTGGCTATGTGCCGGAGACATTCAGACCAATACGCATGATCCTGGCTATGTGACGTAGACATTCAGCCAAATACGCATGATCCTGGCTATGTGACGGAGACATTCAGCCCAATACGCATGATCCTGGCTATGTGACGGAGACATTCAGCCCAATACGCATGATCCTGGCTATGTGACGTAGACATTCAGCCCAATACGCATGATCCTGGCTATGTGACGGAGACATTCAGCCCAATACGCATGATCCTGGCTATGTGACGTAGACATTCAGCGGATTTGAGATTTTATCAAATGTGGATTATGCCAAATTCATTGAAATCCCAATGCGTCAGAATGTTCAATGGCATAACTTGACTGTTTGTGTGGCTAAGTTTATTGGGGGAAACAGTCATCATCACAGGGGTCCATGGTAATCATCATAGGAGTCCTTGGACATCTTCTTAGGAGTCCGTACCATTATCATCGGAGTCTGTACCATTATCATAATGGTCCTTGGCCATCATCATAGTAGTCGGTGGCCATCATCATAGGTGTTCTTGGCCATCATCATAGGTGTTCTTGGCCATCATCATAAGGGTCCGTACCATCATCATAGGGGTCAAGGGCGATCATCATAGGGCTCCAGTTCCATTATCATAGGGATCCATGGCTAACATATTAGGGGTCCGTGGCTATCATCGAAGGGGTCCGTACCATTATCATAGGAGTCCGTAACCATCATCATAGGAGTCCGTACCATCATAACAGGAGTCCGTCGCCATCATTATAGGGATCCAGTCCATCATCATAGGAGTCCATAGCTAACATATTAGGGGTCCGTGGCTATCATCATAGTGGCCCATGCCATCATCATAGGGGTCCGTGGCAATCATCATATGAAGTTGTTGACTCATAAAGCTTAAGAATAAGAAGTCTGCCTAGCATTTCTTTACGTCACTGGCTTGGGATTCCCATGCGTGTAAACCATTACACTACTGGGGTCACGAGCTTTGTGGGGGAAATTATAACACCGACTTCGTGCTTCATTCAAAACCATGTACTGACACCATTATTGGCGATCGCCAGTGGTGTAGCTAGAGTTGCACGGTCCCTGGTGTTCGACTTGTTTAAACATCTTAAATTAATATTTTTCTTTTATACTTTTCAAAAATTCTCGGGCCCCCTTTTGGCTTCGGGCCCTGGTGTGGTGGCACCCCCTGCACCGCTGTGGCTACGCCCCTGGCGATCGCAGTATTGTCAAGGAGGAAAAGGGTAGGGGTCAGATGTCACCCGAAATTATTAATTTACTTACTAGTCATCTAGAGAAAATAGTAACAAGAAGTGCTCCCCCACCCCACCTAACAACCAGGTTCGCAGCCGCAGACTTTTTTCACGCCCCTGAACTATAATAATGTTATGTCCCACCCACTTTTATACCGCAGATTTATAACACATTTAAATTCAGACAATTTCCTTTTAAAAAAAAGAAAATATTACGCACCAAACGCACTTTAATAACCTCTTTCCTACTTTAAAAGTTGAAAGTATTTAAAAAAAAAGAAATATACATTTTTAAAAAGAGTTTCAATGATTGACAATTAAGATAAGATAAGATTATTTTATGGATCTAAATAAATGCTAATGTGTGTTTGATTGCATTGTACGTATTCATATTCAGCACAATGATACATTATTTTAGCAAGAGCTACTTCAAGACATTATAAGTATGGACCTTTATAAGGTAAGGTAGGTTCACTCAATAAGATTTCAAATACATGTATTTAGCATCGAATGCTGTGTAAACCGTGTGGTAACTATAGACTGGCCTTAAACTTAAATATTCGGATCATCAAAAAGATCGACAGCCACGGTAATTGTTTGCACCAAATCCCTTATTTTAATCAGCGGGAGTTAGGGCTAAAATTTAATACTATTTGTACAATGTATCGAAAATTAGATTTTCTTTTTAAATAGCCCAATATTTTTATTTTATTTTTGCACACAGTTGTCTCGGGGGTTGGGGGAGGGGGGCAGTTGACGTTCCCTGGGTGGCTACCCCCCCAACTCCCCCCGAGATGCCTGAAAGAAATACTGAGACTCATGACCTTAGCTGTTATCATAATTGTAAATAGGATGTTCATTAAATTATTCGTCTCAAATGTCTTCCGATAAAATAAATATTTTGTTTTCATACAACTACGATGTCATTTGGTTACACTGCAAGATTTCTTTCATGTAGTCCCAACCCCATGGCAATCTCCTGTCATTTTGTGAGGCGGGAGTTTCGAGTCCACGTAGGTGAGCAATGGCACGACTGCACAACTGTTTCTACAGGACTAAAAAAGATACCTGTAAATTACGCAATCATTTTTCTTTAGCTAATGTCATTTTAATTCCACAATCAAACATCCACTTTCCCTGTCACGTTACTCGTAAAATCTTTAGCCCTCACATTCCGAGCCTTAACTGTGATATGGAGGTGCGTCACTGGGACGGGATTGCTAAGTTGTCACAGCCCGCTGAAGTTGATACTTTATAAGTGGTCGTAAATAAATACAAGAACAGGATGTCACCAGAGCAAGGTGACACAAGAGCAGGGTGCCCTTAATAGCAGGGTGCTACAAGAGCATCGTGCCACCAGTGCAGAAAGCCACCATAGGAGGGCATCACAAGTGCAGGGTGTAATCAGAGTAGGATAACACAAGAGCAGTGTGCTGCAAAAGCATGGGGGTTACAAGAACAGGGTGCCACCAGTGCAGGTTGCCATCAGCACAGGGTGCCACCAGCACAGGGTGCCACCAGCACAGGGTGCCACCAGCACAGGGTGCCACCAGCACAGGGTGCCACCAGCACAGGGTGCCACCAGCACAGGGAGCCACCATAGCAGGGTGCCACCAGCACAGGATGCCACCAGCGCAGGGTGCCACCAGAACAGGGTGCCATCAGGGCAGGGTGCCATCAGCACAGGGTGCCACCAGCACAGGGTGCCACCAGCACAGGGGGCCACCAGCACAGGGGGCCACCAGCACAGGGTTCTACCAGACCAGGGTGAAACAAGAGCAGAGAGTCACAAGACAAAATGAATCAAGTGAGGTATGTTGAGCTGGTTAAGATACTCTCCAAATTTAAACCTTTTACGATGACAAAAGAGAACCAAAAGAGTTTAATGGGGCAGAACAATACACAATCCCAGCAAATCCATTGTCTCTTGCAACAGAGAGTCTATTAATGTCATGTGGCGGAGATGTTTGTTATGCATTTAAAGTCTGCGGTGTATTCTGGAATCATCCTCGAACACACCTGGCATATAACACATTTATCACGTTCTAATAAAATAATAAAATATTGTGTTGTAATGTGTTGTTATTTTCCAAGCGCATGGTTGAAGATGCAATCGTTCATTATTTAAATTAAAGACTTTTCATTTAGAATCAGAGAATGAAAGGAAACTGTTTGATGCCTTGTTTATACATTATATCTTGTTGCCTTATACTTGCATATTATTATTGTTTATTAAAAGAAACATTTTCTGCGCATATAATATTATTGTTTTAACTTATGCGATTTTTTAATATAGAACATTAAGAACTTGGACCTTTAATGAAAATATTAAAAAAAAATTATTTCCAGCAACAGTAATTAAAAAAAAATCAAATTCTCATTTATCTTAAGTAAAAATCATGTTTAAACCAAGTTACGCTACTGGGTATAAACATTAAATGAAAGGGGTAAAACAGAAAAAAATAAACAAAATAAATTAAAACTGGATGTTGAGGAGGCAGCACCAGAGCCAAATTATCCATTGGGCCAAGGTGAACAACATGCCAAGACACCCTCCCCACCCCCCACCCCCCGAGTTTCCCTGGGGCTTCTTATTACCATCTGATTTTAATATGCAGATGTCTTAACAGTTCTCTAACTTAGCTTAAGCAATGTGACGTCACATGAACAGCAGAATATTATTGTAAGGCATTGCACTTAATAACCTCAAATTACATATATTTTTAACTTTAATCTTTTATACAACAAGGGGTCGTCCATTAATTACGTCAACAATTTTAAAGCAATTTTTGACCCCCCCCCCCTTATTTAAAGCAATTTTTTACCCCCCCCCCCTTGTCAACAACTTTCAAACTTTCAATGACCCCCCTATTTAATTATGTCAACATTTTCTCCCTCCCCCCCCCCCTCAAAAAAAAAAAAAAGAAATTGTATTTTAAATAAATTTATAAATACATTTTACTTTGTGCTGATCTATTTTAATGACACAAAATTATATGAAAAACATTTCATTACATACTTAGCTTGTTTATCAACAAGTTAAAAAGATGTTACACTTAAATTTTATAATGCTGAATCAATTGAAAGGTTGTTAAAAACTAAATATCATTATTTGTGATAAATAAGATTATTGTCAGTAAAGCTGACAATTATAGTATATTTTCTAGCTGCAGTCATCTTCCCAAGGAGTAGCCAGGTTTGCTCTATCGTAACAATGGACATAAGGGACATCATTTGGGTAGGGCAGAGGTGCAGTTATTCCCATTCCCTAATTTGCAGGCATTATTTAAATTGCTATGTACTGTGGCGCCCCCAGTAATAAACAACTTAACAAGCCAACCAAGTTTTGGTTTTGCACCCCCTCCCTTCCTGAAAAAAAAAATGAAATGACGCCCCTGATGAGCATAGCCTATAGTAGCTGATTTATCATTTTCATCTTGCGGCACTGATATATCGGACAAAACATCATCCTCATCTAAACATTCAGCACTTAAAATAGAATCATTGTCGGTGTGAGCAATAGTGCCTAAGATTTCTCTTTCTCCTCACATTGGTCGAATCGTTATATTGTTGAGGAGCAGGTGCTAATTTCTTACGCTCGAGGGGGCGTTGTCGGTGCTGTTGAACATGCTTTTTCAACATGACTTGTGATGCAAAATAGATGTTACAGATTTTGAAAATCCATTCAAGCACCGATGTTATTATTGTTGCTCAATTTACATTCCCTTAATTCTCAAAATATCGTATTCCAACTCTATCAATATCATTTATCTTGACTGCACATGACACTTGAATCTTGTCCTTGCTCCATACCTGCAACAGAATCTACAGGCGAAGAGAGGCCAACTTTTAACTTCTCTTGCACCAACAAAGTGTGCTAACATTCTGACCAGCCATCTGCAGTGCACAGACACACATTAAACATATCTTATATTGTTAAAAGCCTATAAATTATATGACTATTTACACTCATTTACACTTATAAATTGTTTAAAATAATGTAATAACCAGTCAATTTTTAAGATTAAAATTTTACTAGAGAAAACATGTCAACAACTGTCAAACATTTCCAACCCCCCCCCCCTATTTTTGTGACGTAATTAATGGACGCCCCCCAATTAAAATTATTTTTCAACTACGATCACTGAGAAAATCAAAACAGATATGCGAGGTCCGAAAGATGGCCTCTGATCAAGTTACAGGCCGCCACTGAGGAGGAGAAAATGGGTGGAGTGACATTGACCACGACCTACTAGAACCGACTACTCTAGTGGGTCAGGCATTGACAGTCGAGAGAATTTATGTCAAAATGTGGAGACTGGAGTCATAGAATTAGGACTACCAGGTGAAATGGGATGGAACGGAAAAAAAAAAGGTTTACTGGGGTGGCGGGTGATCTTAGTAAATGCTCCAGGGCAGGGTTTCTTAACCTTTTTGCAGCGCTGCATGCCCACCACATTGCCCCAAGCCATGCCCACCACATTGCCCCACGCCCTGCCCACCACATTGCCCCACGCCCTGCCCACCACATTGCCCCACGCCCTGTCCACCACATTGCCCGTGCGGGACGGGTGGTGTAACGGGGTGCGGCTGCCCACCACATTGCCCCACGCCCTGCCCACCACATTGCCCCACGCCCTGCCCACCACATTGCCCCACGCCCACTAAACCGTATATATTATATTGTAATACAATTTTAAAATGAAAATAATTAAATAATTTAATTATCGTATTTTTATTTCTTTAATTAAATTTTTATGAACAAGGAAAAAAATTACCAATACAAGTAATGTGCGAACAAAATTCAACAGAAACCATTTTATACTGCTGCTAATCAAAATGCATAAAAACTTATTTTTAAATAAAGCAGCAACAACTAGAAGCAAATACAATGTTCTGGTCTTCTGCACCTTAGCCTTAGGGCTGGGGAGCTACTTGTACCCCTGGTTAAGCACCACTGTTCTGGTAAAATGTCTGACACAGGTGCAGCAATTTGATATCCATGGGAGGTGAATCTCTTAAGGGTTTGTAAAGGACAGTAGTAGAGACAGGGAATTTTTATAAGGTGGGGGTGCAGAGATTTGTGACGTTTTATTTAAGGGGGGGGGTATTTTTGTGACGAAAGAGGGGGGGGGGGGTAAAATAATCGGCAAAATTTGCGTGACGTCATTTATGGATGGCCCTTTATGCAATAGTTAAAGTCATGATTCAGGCAAAAATTTATAATACAATAATATGCAGATGCGGCTCGGTTATTGACTAGTAAGGTATTTTTGTGACGAAAGAGGGGGGGGGGGTAAAATAATCGGCAAAATTTGCGTGACGTCATTTATGGATGGCCCTTTATGCAATAGTTAAAGTCATGATTCAGGCAAAAATTGATAATACAATAATATGCAGATGCGGCTCGGTTATTGACTAGTATATCAATCCACCGATAAATATGAAATACGCATTCATCGAGCCTAGCTGCGGAACCCCATGTTTGTTATGACCAGGGCTTTTATAGACATAGAGCGACCCTGGGCAGCACTCACTAGGGCTAGTTATTTTGTAATTTATAGGTCACGGAGTTTTTAGTTTTGACTGAATATTAAACAACCCTTTAGGAAATTACACTGTCCTTTTTCTGTATCATCTCCCTTAATAGTGTTTAACTTAAGGCTAACTTAATATCGGGATGCAAAAAATAGTTCTGAGACATGAAAAAAAAAGTATTATAATACTAATGATAAAATCATTAAAATTAAGTCGCTTGTTAATTGTAGTTAGACATCTATTTAAATTTTATTTAAAAATTATGTTATATATATATGTGTGTATCATCTTGATGATAAGATGGTTCATGATGCGCAGCGCTTATATTTGCTATTAAAATACTGTTGAAACGTTAAAAAAATGAATTTTACTATAATTTAAATTATTAACAGTGACAGCCCCCACGAGTAATTAAAACTAAAATTAATTAAAATATTTAAACAAATCAAATAGTCAAATGTTTCACATGATTACTTAATAAGCTGTGAATGCATTATATTTTTAAAAATTCAAATCTCAAAATCCTCTCGGAAGTTTATCTCGGTTGCTGGGCTGAGTACCGGTATTGTTGTATGCTGGACGGTAGTTGGACCTAAATCAAAATAAGTAACCATTTATGATTTACAGGTGAGTTCTGATTTCTGACTGAATCCCGGTACACCAAGTACAGCCCTCACCCCCCCCCCCATTTTTTTTCCACCTGACACCCACCCCCCCACACAAAAGATTTGTTTCCAGACAATAGAATTTTGTAGTGTTTAAACTATATTTACCATATTGTATTTAATTGTGTTATAGTATAGTCATAGTCTTATTTACTTGGACTTGACTTTGACTCAACTGACTCAACTTGAGTCTTGACTTATACTTATTATCACAATAAGTGAATAAGTTATAGTGTAAAAGTGAAGAGATAGCACCGCGTTTTTTTACCATGGCGAACTTATGTCCTAAATTTAACCGTAAACCTAACCTGAACCCTAAATCTATCACTATCGGAACCAGGGTTTACTGAGGGTTTTGAACCTATCGGAACCAGGGACAAAACACGCAATGGCAAATGATGTCAGGGTGCTATCTCTTCTCTTTAGCCAGTTATTGTAGACCCCTAAAGGGGTAAAGGGGCCGTCCATAAAATACGTCACGCTATTTTTGACAATTTTTACCCCCGTCCCCCTGTCACAAATTGTCACAAATCTCGGACCTTCCCCCTAAAGTATGTCACACTTTCGAACAAAATTTTTTAAAAATTAACACGTAATTAAAATTTAATCTAAAACACACTTCACAATTAAACTGTATTATAAAATATAAAATTTCCACTTAAAAGAACCATCACATTATTAAAATTACTTTAATAGTAGAATAGTTAATTGTCAATAATTGTCACAGTTATTCATTGAAGCAGTAACTCAATCTAGATTGAATTTGAAAACAAATATTGAAAAAATTAGACTAGACAATTATATAATACACATCATTTATCTGTTGCTTTTTCATTTACAAAAGGTGAGGTCAAGTTTTAGATAATTTCCGATTATGCAATCTTTTTACACAGGATAAGAAGCAAATTAGCGAAACTTGACCTCACCCAGTGATTAAATAATAAAAAGGAAGCAAAACAATTTGACTAAAAAAAAGACTAGATTGACAAATTATGTGACAAACTCTTGTGCTATATTGAATCTGCATATTATGGGCCTGTGAATTATGTTTAATTAAAAAATATTCACTGGACATCATCCATCCATGGTGAAGTGAAGTGTCATCCATAGTTACAACTGGCATCAATCTTTCACCATCATCGTTTCCCGGAAGGATGATTGCAGACAGATCAACTTCATCCTCATTTAGCCACTCAACATCCTCAGAATGTGCTATTTCTCTTCTGGCAATAACTGCCATGAGTTCTCTTTGCCTTCTAGCAGCGATTTTCAAAGGACTGATGCGTTTTATCTGAGTTGATTCTGGAACAGTTTGGGTTGGCACATTCTCCCGAGCCCGAGCTCTGTGTTGTCCTGCATGTTTCTTTGACATTGTTTGTGAGGCAAATTATAAGTGACATACTTTGCAAATTCGATCAAGTAAGCTGGTCAGCAAAGATGGACAATAAAGATCATATAGTTGTACTTTGAAAACTCCTGTTGATCTCGGCAAGGCTATACATAAAAAAAAGGCTTCACAACAGCATACTAGCGCTCCTAGCGAGAGGAATAGTGAACAACACATTCAGGAGATACGCATTTCAGGCTATTTTGACATAAAACTAATTCAAATGTTTCACAAAATTTTTGAAAATTATTTTTAAAGCTATTAAATTCTACTAAGAAAATAAAAAAATAAATTAGAAATAAAATTTAAAAAAAATAATTGTGTGACGTCACACATGGCCTGACCCCCCCTCCCCCCTGTCACAAACTGTCACACTTTCTTACACCCCTCCCCCCCTCTGGAGCGTGACGTACTTTATGGACGGCCCCCAAGCCTAAGAATCCCCTCATCATATATTGACATAAAAATATAAAAAGTAAGCCTGTTTTTCCAGTGAAGACTAAATTATTAGTAATTAAAGTTAAAGACACATATAATATGATATGATTAATTTAATATGAATGATTGTTATGATAATGTTTACGCGTACTACGTACCATATGTAATAAGGATAATCAGAAACTCAGTGTAACTAAATGAAAAGTTTTCATTGGTGACAAATTCAAAGCTGCAACATTTGAATTCCTTCACTTAAACTTATGTTGCGAACAACATTGTCAGTTGTTGTTTGAAAGACCTCTACAGCTCCCTACTTGCTTTGTTCAAGAAAATTTAAAAAATTTTTCTGTGTAAAACTTATTTTTATCAACACTCATACTAGATCCACAAAGTCACAAAGTTTCTATCATTATATTAATCCTATATTAATTATTATGCTATTTAATTATTTGCACACAAACAAGGAATAATTATGATTAGGACAAAGGAAGATATAAAAAAATATATATATATAAAAAAATATATATATCATGAATAATAATTCTCTAAGGTATGTATGTATGTATGGCTATAATGCTTTGTTCAATTGACAAGGAAAATACATTTTCCAGAAGTTAAAAAAAATTGGGATTCTGTTGAAGTTCATTACCTCATGTATGTTTTGTGTTTTGTCAAGTAATTTTAATATATGGGAAGTTCACGTATTGCCGCCGCCATTATTTGGCAGGTTATTTCTAGCGTACATATCGAAATATATATAGATATAGGTAGAATATCTATATAATTATAATATTTATATATTCGCCTGTGTGTTCTCACTTTTTTTGTCTATTTATAGAAATTACCCATCAGGTATCTATAATTTCATCGATGTGCAACTTTTATAAAATGAGCCATTGCCTTCTTTTCTTGACAGCTGTGTCAAAGTTCAAAGTTTTGCTAACCAACAATGATTAACTGAATTGGTAAATATAAGAAAATGGATGTGGACAAAGAGAAAAGTAATGGCCTGATAAACCTATTTTCCTATTCAAACCTTGTCCATGCCGTCTCAGGGGCTGCAGTAAGTATTCATTTTATCAAATCATGAAACATAAAGTTAAAAGAATATTTGACAAGAACAAAAATGTGCAGGTTTTATTTTTTAATTCTTCGGAAAAGTCAAAATAATTGACTTTTCATGTTTTTAAACTATCTAAAGAATTTAACTTTAACAAATATTTTATTTTTAATTTTTTTTTGTTGACTTTTAAACAAATTAACTACCTACAAGCCAAAAACAAATTACAATTACATGCCTTGAAAATATAATTTTCTTTGTCTATTATAGGGCAGTGTCATTGCCATCTCCTTATTTTATCCACTAGATACAGTTAGGACAAGATTGCAAGGTCTGTGTCATAACTAATAAATCTATAAAATAATAATATATTATTTATTTGTACAAAGCTCTTTCATCTAAGTTTGATATATTTCTTGATCCTGTAGTGTTGAAATGTAGTCTCACAGGGTTGGTGGTTTTTTATTCATTTGCAACAAAGTATATTCTTATGATCACATCTGGGCAGCCTTTGGTTGTATACGGCCCACAGACAAGTCCGTATGATTTTCGCAAATCAAATTTATTCACTTGTTCATCTGTCGTAATCCCATTAAATCTGAACACAAGTTCTTTTCCAAGAACGATGTAAACTTTAATTCAAGTTATTTATGATCCATTCCTACAATAATTCAAACATATATATATATTTAACGTGCTGCTCTATCCATATTTCAAATTTTCTTCATACCCCCTTCCCCCAACTGCCAAGGCCTTGTTGAGACAGACCCCACAAAATATCAAATTATTATTTCATACATAGCTCAGCAAGATAGATGAACACAATACAACCTTTCTACTCTCACCTCGAACAGCAACTGCCAAACAAATAATAATAATAATAAAGTTTATTTGAAAATCACGCTTCATACCCAAAGGCTCGAAGCACGGTACATAGTCTAGTACATTAAAAGAGAAATGAAACAATCTAAAATTTACCACATTTAAAAACAGACGCAACAATATAAAAACTACATATGAGCATACCAAGTAAAAGTCTTTAATCCCATTTCAACCATGAGCAACACAACCCAATATACATTAACTGGAAAAAAATGGTAGACAGCATCACCCCAGAGGGTGTTTGCGAAATAGATGTGATTTTTAAATCAGTTTTAAAGGACTCCAGAGTCTGGCTGTTTCTGAGAGCGTCAGGAAGGGCGTTCCAAATTGTTGGGCAAGCAAATGCAAAAGTGCGCTTTCCTTAAGTCTCAAGGCGAACACGCGGTATCAATATTTTTCCACCATCCCATGAGCGGAGCTGTCATTTGGGTACATAAGGCGTCATAAGTGCTTTGAGATAGGACGGAGCCATGTCATGTAAGCAGCAGTAGCACAAAGTTGTAATTTTGTACTCTATGCGAGCGCGGACCGGCAGCCAGTGCAGCTCTCTCAGAGGTGTTTTAGCATGGTTGAATTTGCGTTTGTGAAGAACAATGCAAGCTGCATTATTTTGTGCTATTTGAATTTTATCAAGGATCGTAGCTGGAAGATCCACCACGAGAGTATTGCAGTAGTCCATGCGTGATAGCAAGAATGCAAACATCAGCCTCTTTGATGCGTTGAACGTTAAGAAAGGTCTGATATGACTAATCCTGCGCAGCTCTAGAAAAATCACCTTGCAAAGCATGTTAATGTGATTTTCCATAGTTAGTGTTCTGTCTAAGTAGACACCCAGGTTTCGCACTGTTTGAGCAAACTCAATCTGTATACCTGAGAGTGAGGGTTTGTGTGTTATTTATATATTTTAGCTTTTGAGTGGTAGCAATGGGGATCAGCTCGGTCTTTTTATAGTTCAATTTAAGCTTGTTTATAGTCATCCAGTGCTTAACTGACTCCACTGTCTTCTGTGTCATACTAAGAAGCTGAGGGAACTGAGAGGGGATCACAGATATCAAAAGTTGGGTATCATCCGCAAACATGTGATATAGCATGTCAAACTGCTTGATCACTGCACCCACGGGCTGAACGTACATAGTGAAAAGCACCGGGCCTAAGACCGAGCCCTGGGGTACTCTGAATTCAATGATAGATTGCTTTGAGGTCAAGCCGTTTGCGATAACTGATTGGACCCGATTTGTTAGATAGCATAAAATCACCATATGTGAGAAGCCTCTTGGCCCCCCAAAATTTTCATCAATGACACTACCACTTAAGACACACCGTGCACAATAAAACCAACATTTCGGTGCACAACAGTTACAAGTCAGCACCCATGCCTCCCAGCATACTTTGTGAGTTGCAACAGTGCAGTCAGTGGAGATATGTAATTACATTATAGGCATGTTATTTAAAAATGTAGGAAATTATGTATGTAAAGTTTGTGTCATGCATCACCCACTAGACTAAATATTATGGGCTTTTAACAGTTATTCAACTCCTGGGTCTATTTTGAATAATTTGACAATATAAATATATTTATAAAATATATAATTGAAGAATTCTGGGTAAAAAAATGTAAATCTAACTCCAGATATTTAAACATTACAATTATTTTTTCTCAGTTGATGACCACAGACATGCCAAAAACACCTTTCAAGTTTTGAAAGAGATTTTTAAGGAAGAAGGCCTGTAAGTTTTGCTAAATATACTTTGCATTGTCTTGACCTAAAACAAGGCAGCAACAGGATCTCTGGGATATTTAATAAAATTGTTAACCCAAGGAAATTTATTATTTAATCTTAGACCAATATATGTCATATATCAAATTATACAAATTGGCATCAGAAAAACAGGCTTTTAGTTAATTTATAAGAGCATGCATTTTTCTTATATGTTATGTAAAGTTTAATTACATTTTTAAAAAAAAATATTTTAACGAAACATGGTTAATTTAAGAAATATTCTGTTGGAAGAAATTTTATCGCCTTTTAGCCCTATTTGAACTATTGAAGATGTTTTAGTGAGTACCGATAACTGAAGTTTCCATTTTGCTTTACATGAATACACTAATTAGGGTTCTGTCACTGATTTAGCACACACACAATTTGTTAAAAAATATAATTTGAACTAGGTGATGGGAAATCTCTTACCTTACAAAATGAACATATCCATTTTACAGTGCTTAAAGCTTGTTTAAAAAAAACGAAAAAAAAAAATGAGATTTCAAAAATCTCAAACATTAGAGTGTGAATAGGACATGGAAGACAATACCAACATTATTTTCATAAATTGATCACTTGTTTAAGGGGAAAAAATTGAATGAAAGGAATTATTTTAACATCTCTTCATTTTTTTCCCTTGAATATGCACATATGATTTCAGGGAAGGCATATATCTAGGTTGGTTCCCAGCTGTGACAGCACTGTGGTGCTCCAACTTTGTCTATTTTTATACCTATAATGGTCTGAAATCATCTGTCCTAACTGGCCACAAAAAGGCATCACCTCTTCTTGATCTGTCTATGGCTTTTGTTTCAGGTATTTTCAGGTCTTTTTAACTTCTTTTTGCTTAAATATTTTAATTTGGGTTGCAATTGTTTTGACATGTTTGACCTTAAATTAACTGTGTTTTACAATGTTAGGTGGTATTGGAATGTTTCAAGATGAAGGCTAACATAATAGGTTTATCTTATTTAAATTAAGCTACCCTGGTACTATTGTCTTCCAAAATATATTAAGTCCCTCTTCATGCCTTAAAAGCACCACATAAGTCCTTTTCTTGAAGGGAATTAAAAAAATATCTGCTATACCTTTGAATTGCTTCTACTTCTATGTCTCCTTAACTTCAATTCCATTTTGGGATTGTTCGCAAATTACGTCACGCAAAAAAATGACCTTTTAGACCCCCCTGTCACAAAGTGTCACAAATTCTTTTACCCCCCCACCCCCCCTTAAGTGTTTCGTCACACCTAAAAAAATCAAAACATACATAAAATTTTCATAACTAAACTAAAATTTTATTTTATTCTTTACAATTTTCCCATATTGGATTAAGATGTAGTATTGACTGTGTTGCAAAACAGCAAAGTCATCCACAAGCCAAATGTAAAATGGCCACAACAATTTTTGCATCATTTTTCGATATGCGCTGAAGGTCTGCACAACTGAGTTTCATGGTACCTATAATACCTGAGGCAATTTTGACCTCAAATTAATATTTTTAAAATTAATTGAATAAAGATTTTTTCAAAATTAGAAAATTTTAGATAAAAAAAAAAAAAAAAAGAGACTCACAAATTTGTCCCCCCCCCCATCACAAAGTGTCACAAATCTCTACCCCCCCTCCCCCAACCCCCTGCTGAGCGTGACATTATTTGCGAACAACCCCTTTGGGCAAATTGAAATACCTCAAAGGTCTTGTTAATGCAAGAAGGGAAGATGTGGTACAACAACTAGTTGTTTTCTTTTTAAAACTGCCTTGCCTTGAGTTAGATGTAGCTGGGCACATTGTCCTGATGCAACAGCAAATACTGATTGTGCCAGAGAGTTCTGGTCTTTCTTGTTGTACATCTTCTCCACAATTCCCCCGAAAGCATGTTTCTCTTAAGGAATATTTTCCACAAAGCCCGATGAAGCAGATATGCAGACTTCAAACGAAATTTTAATTGCACTGATTTGTCAACCATCATAAGGTCACAGTACAATCACTTGTAACAACTAAATGTGTGCAGACAGAGCAATATGACTATACACATTAATTCACAAGGCTCCGGAGCAGTGACAGCTAATACAGTCTCAGAATATTTCAATACCACCTTTAATTAATCGTTTGCTTTTAATTCTGCTGCACTTGTTAAAATGTTATTTTTTTATTTGTAAATCCTTTTTTCTTTTTGCCTTTCAGTAAACATAAAAATTATATTATTTGACATAGACCAAACATTACTTTCAATTTAGGCAATCTCTCTTTATTTATAACTCCACATTTTATGTTTACTTTGAATGTAATAGGTCCTTGTTTTTATCTAAACATATAATTACCATTTGTCAAATGATATGGTTTGAGTTTGAGTAAAAATAATCTAGTAATTGGTTTCCTTTGGTTATCTTTTAAGGAGTGTAGTTCATTTAGGTAATAAAATTTTACAAATTGATACTAGATTACCTTTTGCTATTGTATACTGTATATTAAATTTCTATCATAAAATTAAATGATTTTAAAAATACTTTACCCTATCAGGAAAATAGTCAATATAAAATTCAGTTACAAATTAAACTTATGGATTCCCATTATTTGAAGCTATATAAGCTTATAGTATTTCATTCTTAAAAGTCAAGCTTAGGAGTGTAAAACGGAAGAAACATTGAAAAGTCTCAGTTTGTTTGGGTAACTTCAAGTTAAAAAACATTTTGTCAAAATTTCTTAGTTGATTAAGTGGGCAGGGTGATGTGAACAATTTATCCTTTTCCTTACACATTATTTTGTTTTCTAATCTTTAATAATTTCTATATCTTTGCACATTTGCTGACTAAATGCAGTTTATAAAATAGCATTGGATGCATTGATAGATAATTACCTACCACCGGTATCTTAACAATTTGGTAATAATTTCACTGCACACAAAAAGACAAGAATTTTCTGCAAAATTCAATCATTTTAAAATGCTATCAATCCATTTTATTATAACTAACTTATATGGAGGATTGGGTTTAGTTAACACCCTAAATTTTACATTTATCTGTTCATTATGAATCTGCTAAATGAAGAGATCTATTTTGGATGAATTGAAAGTTAATTTCTAGTTCATACTTTCTCAGATATCTTCTGCTGTTTTCTTCTCTAAACTTTCATAAATCCAATTATCACAGGCAATATTATTGGGTTTCTTTTGTTGTTGTTTTTTTTTTTTGCAGGTTTCCTGGAAATGTTAAAAAAAAAAATAAAATTTATAAATTTTCCAGTCATTCTTTTATCTGACTGAATATTCTTCTAAGCATTAAATTTGTTTATTTTTATCTAATTTTTTTTGTTTTTGTTTTTTTTTTTTGCAGGTTTCCTGGAAATGTTAAAAAAAAAAAATAAAATTTATAAATTTTCCAGGCATTCTCTGATCTGACTGAATATGCTGCTAAGCATTAAATTTGTTTATCTTGATCTACATATTAGTTATAAATCCTCTTTATCTTACTTAATGTACTGTTCAATAATAAATTATTTTTTATTTGGATGTTAGTGTTTAATAATTACTTCTTTGAAAAAGTAACTGAATCATGGGAACAAAACATTTTTAAAACTTTATTCGGTTGACAGTATGAATACATTATTGGTATTCAGGTATTTTTTAGAAAAATCCATAAAATATACTTTTATTAAATTAATTTTAAGCATACAATTTTAATTTTTTTTTAGTCATTATGAATCTTAGTCATATTTTGGATGGTGTGTAAGAATTAGTTTGACAATTTGTTGAGTGATATCAGGCATTATTTTCAGTTCTGGTAATTTGAAGTTTTGCTTGTTTAGCTAAATGTCAGCTTTCCAAAAAGCTTTCTATTGATATTTCCATTCCATCAGATTGGGCATCTATCGAGGATTGGATTCTATGGCCACCACGATGTTTTTCTCCAATTTTGTCTATTTCTACACATACGCCAGCTTGCAGTATTTCCACCATTCCTTCATAGGTGACCTGACTCTCTCCAAAAACCAGCCCTCCCCATCTATGTTATTAGACCTTATCATAGCCTTTATCGCAGGTATTGTTTATGCTCTTCATTCACATATATTTTATTTTATAGCAGGCGCCATCATTACTGTCATATATTACCCATATTATAGGCTTCTTTACTAGTCCAACATAAGAGAAAGAGCTTTTCCTGCTTATGCTGTATGACGTTGCTTCTGTCTTCTTTTATTTTTTTGTATTACAAGACAACTACTGTCAAAAATGGTTCATAAAGAATTTTAAATGAGACCTGACTCCATGCTCAGAAAGCCCTGTTCCAAAGGTTGTCTTTCTTAGTGTTACAATGGGAATAATGTTACCTGATTACTCTGTGTAAAGACTTTGCTCTACTACTATTGGTTAAAATTAAATGAATACCTATATTAAATATAATCTATAAACAGTAGTAAACAGCATCCACAAAGTGTCAATGAAGGGAATTTTAATCACTAAAAATAAAAGAAAGAAGAGGTTATGGATAGTCTTAATGAATTCTCTAAGGGAATTTCTGTTGTTCATGTTTTTGACTAACTTTGCTTCGGCTATCTTCATTTTTTTTAAGACTAACCCTAAACAACCTAGTTAAGTGGAAATGGTTTTGGTAAAACCATTTTGGAACATTTTCAATTTTTTTAGTGAATATCAAAATGAGATGAAAATATATCGAAAATGATCTTATATGCTCAAAATGTTAGGCGGAATTCAGTTCTCAAATTAAATTAAATTTTCAAACCCGAAATCTATTATTGTATTTATTTCTCAAATCTTTTAAATGATTTACAAGCCGTCTCACAGTGTAATTTTTAATACTGCCATTAAATAAGATGAGAAACTTATGAATGTTGCCTGTTGTAAGTTAAAATATTAAATGACATTAAAACAACTGAACATGTCTTTGTAGTGTTACTTACAGAACAAAATTTTTGTGTGCATACAAAGAAAATTTTATTTCCTTTTGAAGACAGCAGTTTTATGTTTATTTGTCTTATTTATACTGTATTATGTTTACTGAAGTATTGGGGTCCAAAATGTCGGCCAGGTTTTAAATTAATCGTCCCTGACTGTTTTATATTTTTGCTTCCTGTATGGTACATATATCAAAATAATGTGGAAACCCGATCGAATGTTTGGAAAGTATCCTTCAAAGTAAAGAAATGTTTATAAAGGGCCCGCTTTTTTTAAAAAAAACTGTAACTTCCTAATATAATTTCTTTCCTATGTATTTGTTGTTTTTTTCTTCTTCTTTTTAAATCTCATTTGACTATTTATCATGATTAAATAGTAACTTATATGTTTATTTTTCTGAATCTTCTTAAACTTAACACATTTTATTTTTTCATTTTAAACATGATATAAAACAGCGGCCTATTTAATGCATAGAGTTTAAATTTCGTAAAGCAACAATAGCAAAGAGATTTTTGTTCTCTTTCCACCATATTCTGTTTACCTTCTAATGATTCTCTAATTATCATTATCATCCTTCTCAAATTTTTTTACTTCTATCACTTTTTCATGTTTCCCATCTGGGCTGCTAGGAGTTGATACTATTTGTAACTATTAAAAATGTTTGTGTTAAAGATTGCAATCCGTTTTTTTATCTATCCATGTTTGGATAAATCCATGCATGTTACATTATTCCATGTTTAGATCTATCTGTTTTCTGTAGTCTATTTCTCCACAAGTTCAGCTCTTAAAATTTAATTATCTATCAAGTCCTGAAGTTATCTTTGGGACTTACTAATAATTTAAATATTATATAATATAATTTGTGTATTGCACATCTCCAGGTGTTGTAAATGTGTTTGTGACCACTCCACTCTGGGTAGTAAACACTCGCCTCAAGCTCCAAGGAGCCAACTTACACACTGCTGCATATAAGAAGAAAGATCTGCCAGTCAGAGGCTTGAACAGTCAATACAAAGGAATTATTGGTAAGTTACCCACATATGGAACAGAATAATCGGAACCAAAAGTTTTAATAAAGGAAGTTCAGTTCTGAAAAACATGAATGTGTGTAAAATTTATTTTCATACTTTTGTAACCACCTCATGTTATAATTAATTAATAATCACATTCCCTTACATAAATATAAGTAAAATAATAAAAAACAACACAGCACTTGACCAAATCCCCTACATATTTTAATGTTAGCTTGTCAATGACTCTCCAGACTGCATCCTAAAGATTATTCACTTCGAAGGGGTGAGGAAACTCTGGGGAGGCACCGTACCGTCTATAATACTTGCAACCAATCCAGCGATACAATTTATGGTTTATGAAGCACTCAAACGTTATTTCAGGAAATTTCTCAACGTCACTGTAAGTTCACTTAGAAGATAATATAAATTTTAAAGTTACTCTCAGTGTTTTTTTTATCTTAGGTCCAATATCTACTGTTTACTATGACCACATTTCAGCCATTATGGATTTGTTTTTATTACTGTAACTTACACTTACACTGTAAGTGTAAGAAATATTCATCTGTACCGTAATACAAGTTACAGAAAAGCTGACCTAAGGAGATTATCAAGATTATATTACTTGGAGATTGCCTGGAGACCTCTGACAAATTCTAGATGTTCTTATACTTATATAGCTTGTTTCACAAATTCTATCTAAATCTTACATCATTTTTAAGTTTCATTTTATATCTAAGCTAAAAGTATCACTTGTTTTATATTGAAGGAGCTCAGTGGATTCATGTATTTCATACTTGGAGCCCTTGCTAAAGCTGCTGCCACTGTAATAACATATCCACTGCAAGTTATCCAGAGCCGACTCAGGGTGAGTGCTGACATTGTATTTAATGAACATAGCTTTGAATTCCTTTGTAACTCAGGGTGAGTGCTGACATTGTATTTAATGAACATAGCTTTGAATTCCTTTGTAACTTGTCTTTCTTTTAAATTCATTATATTGACATAGGTAACTAAGGTATCAATATCCTCACATCTAAACAATTTGCCACACCTTTGCCTTCCATATAGTTGGCAAATTAATAAACCTATGTCTCAGAAGAAAGTAGCTGGTTAAAAATTACTTAATAGCTTACATATTTTTGCACATTTCAAAGACTTTCAAATCCCCAATATTTTGTTAAAATGGCACTAATAGTGCATACAAATTTTCTGTTTAATAACATCAAATAAAACATTCATAACTTAAGATTGTTAACTGTGCAGATGTGAAATAATTGTGTTCCCCCTTTTTTTTTTTACAGGCTGGGTTTGCAAAAGTTGAGGGTAGTCAAACTTTAAAGGAGAATATAATCCACCTGGTCAAGTAAGTCTTGAATTTTCTTCTACAATGTTTCTTTCATTGTTTAGCATTTGATATAAAAAAATTTCTGAGATTATAGAGTAAGAAAATTTACAAGTGCATCTGAAATCCCCTTTAAAATGTACTGATTATTAGGAATGTGTAGAGTAATCTCAGTGCCTCTGCCCCGCCTCAAAATAAACATTGGTGTCCTATACTGGAGACTGTTATGATTTTTTTCTAGGCTGTCACATGGCAGCTTTTGAACCTCAATTACATAGAAATATGACTGCATTCAATTTAAGAGCTGCTTAACTAAACTTTCATCACCAATGATGGTCCCAGAAATGAATGTTGGGTCGTTGGCCTTCTAACAAAGCTGCAGACTTGGTGCCAATATGTTGGCTTTAAAAATTAAGTCTAATTTTGTTAGAAATTTAGCAAGTAATGGCATGAACAAGTTTGTTATCTTAATCAGGTTTAAATAATTTTTAAACAGAAATAAATAATTGTCACTACTTGACTCCTCAGAACAAGAGGCTTTGGTGCACTGTATAAAGGAATGGAGGCCAAGCTACTACAGACAGTGCTCACTGCAGCACTCATGTTTCTCATCTATGAGAAAATTGCGGCTGTCATCTTTAAACTCATGGGGCTGGAAAAATGACATTTCATTATGTAATGATTATTTTTGGGATGGAGATTTTCATCACTTTAATATAACCACCAAAAAAAATGTAACAGTTATGTGTCTGAATTCCTCCTGCTGATGTTTCAGTTAATCAGAAGCCATATTGTTAAAACTGTTTTATTACTTTTATGTACTGTGATAATGAAAAGGGAGAGAATTAAATCATATTTTATAGAGAACAACTCCATTTTCCTTAAATTAAATGAAACTGACAACTTTATGAATACATTTATTTACTGAACTAAATAATTTTCAAATGTTCAAAATGCTTGATTTAAGTCCTGTGAGTTTTCTTCAATTCCTTGTATAATTTTAAAACAAACAAAAAACCCATCTGAAACAGCTAAAAATATAGTTGAATTGTAGACTTATTGGCAGCACACATTATGAAGGGTGTTTACTATAAATAGTTGTTAAATATATTGCTGAACATTAAAAAAAATTTATTATCTCATTTACATATAAAAGTTTCAGTATACTGTCTATTTTACAATACAAAATTGCATTAACTGCTGAATAAAATTTTTAAAAGCAATATGTGTGCTGGTACAGGGATGATTTATGTATAGTTATTGTTAAGGTTGTTTGTGTTTCCCATTTCTTTTTTTTTTTTCAAATTGATCGAATCAAAATAATGTTGGCTTATTTTCTCCATGCTGATATCAGTTATATAGATATTTTAAATATCTATATTAAAAACAACTATACTTTAACATTTTTTAAATATTTTATTATAGCAGTATTCAATTTAAAATGCAAAACTGCAGTATCTTGTCTCTTGTCAAACGTTAACAACAACAAAATTTAGTATGCAAAATTATTGCTTATGTTAAATAATCTATTAGTGTCTATAGTGCAGTTTGTAGATAACATTGTTCACTATAAAATAAAATGAAATAATTGAAAGGTACATTGATAACATCTTCATATATCTTTCCCTACTTCTGTGATCTGCTTACTATAGATTACTGTAAATACTGTTTTTAACATCTTCATATATCTTTCCCTACTTCTGTGATCTGCTTACTATAGATTACTGTAAATACTGTTTTTTTCAAGCTATGATAATTACATTCCTTATTTTGATGAATTTAATTTTTCAAATGCTTTGTTTTCTTTGTCTGTTCTTTGAATAAATATTTTCATCAATGGATAGAATGCCAGGCATAAATGTTTCTGATTCAGCTGCCTATCAGAAAATGTAAATCATAATTTTGTTAGTGACATGATATGTCATTTCAACTAAGTAAGTACATCCAGTGCTATCAGTTAAACCCATCATTAATGGATGTTTTTATGTTAAATGACTTACAATGGTTAGCTTCTTCAAACATAAAATGTTGTTCTGTTGTTTGTTGTTTGAGAAAATTTCATGGAATTAAATTATACATTTTTTGCATTAGACTATTAGGTTGTGGTATTTTATTTTGTATGGGCAGTTTCCAACATCTGTCTTATTGTGGCCTGAACTTTACTTTAGTTACAGAATACGATGCTAAAATGAACATGTTAGGTCTCATGGAAAAAAATTGCCTGCATCTTTCTGATCAAAAATGTTTGGATGGACAGCATTTAAAATGCAAGCATTGAATTACTTCAACATTTCATATATACATCTTAATCTTAATAAGAATTATTCTTTGAAATGATCATTGATGAATGATATGCTGATTATTGCGGATTAACTTGGTGCTAATTTCTAGGGGATAATTTTCGTGTGTGAAAATGGCAATTAGCATTAATTTTTGCGTAACAGATTACAACTGTAGTTTGAAGAACGATTCACAGAATTAATTTTATTAAACTGTATGATGGAAGTGCATCGTGACTTGAAATTGACAACTGAAAATTTAACGATAAATGTAATTTCTTCATAAATTACATTTTGGCAGAATCAAAGCAATAAAGTAATTTAATGTACAATTATTTAGTTGAGTCTAGTATTTTAGTTTCATTGCAACAATATCAATATGCTTTTAAATTCTAATTTGCTACCGTTACCGGTACTCAAACAAAAAATTTCAAATACATCTAACATGCACAAAAAGTATACTATTGGAAAGGGCTGGCCTTTAGCTTTCCAATGACACAAAGATTACCTTTTGTATCACTTACAGAAGAAAATGTATGATTTTTCAATCTGCCTTATTTAAAAATGTAAGACGTTTTTGGCCTAACACATATTATAATCTTTCTATAAAATTTAGTTTTTAACTTTCTTATTTTCAAAGGTGTAGCCATCATGAGACCCTAACAAAACAATTTAAAAAAAATAAAACTAATTGTGAATTAATTTTTATTTTTTCTTCAATTAATATGATCAGATAAGGAAAAGGTGTGGTGGTTATTGACATTTTTCAAAACCAAAACTTTTTAAAATGAAAATAAAATAGAATAACTATTCAATTAATGAAGCTATGGAAATACAATTATCCACAGTAACAGATAGTGTCCCACTGAAATTAAAGACATCTTATTAATTATCATTAAAATAACCTCATTTAAAAAAAATTGAACAAAAAGCTTCTGCGGCTAATATATTGGTAAATTAAAATTTTTCATTTTAAAACTTATAAAGCTGTAGCGATTAATTTTTCCAAAGTAACAAATAGTGTCCCATTGAATTTAAACACATTTTTATTAATTATTATTTTGTATTAAAATAATTAACCATCATATTTTAAATTAAAATAAAATTTGACAAAAAGCTACTGTGGCCGACATATTGTTACATTTAAATACATCATTTTTTAACTAATGAAGTTATTGTATTTAAATTGTACAAAGTAACGGAAAGTGTCCAGCTAAAAGTAAAGAAATTTTATTTTTTCCACTTGCGCTGTCTCAAATGCTTTTAAAACTGTTTTTTTTGCCATATTCGAAGCAAATTTGTAATTCGTATGTCTCATAAAGAACGATAACTCTGGGAGACAAGGGAAGTAATAACTCCAGTTGCAGTGCCCTATAGCCTGCTATCCCCTTAAGTTCTCTTAGACTGTGTGGAATGCTATCATTTGAAGTGCTCTTTCTTTTTGTTGTGTTTTATCACAGTCACTTAAGCTGAGGACCATGAAAAAAAGCTGGACTCTGGAATTGTTCTAACAGATCTGCTGACCTAGGGTCCAACAAACAGTTTACCTTTAATTCCTTGCATACCTGGGTTGCATTAGAAAATATTTAAAATTGATAAAAATAGCAATTTTAGAGAATATTTCCTTAACAAAAGACAAAAACAAAAAAGACTCAATTTTTTATTTTTTTTACAAAATTTATATTAAATATGTGACACTAGTTTTCTGTGACTATCTCTAGACATAAAAACGTTTTCTGTCACTATTAATTATTAATAGACATATAACAATTTTCTGTCACTATCTAGATATACAACAGTTTTCTGTGACTATCTCTAGCATAAAATAGTTTATTGCGACTAGTTTTCTGTGACTATCTCTAATTGCTGACCAATACATTTGTTAACACATAGACCAACGCACCTGTTTGAAATTTGAATGGTTAACGTGATTGGATGACACAGCCAGTGAAGCTGTTAGGTTCTCAACATAGTGTGGACTTCCAGCTGGAACAAAAAGCAGCTCTCCTAATAGAAAACATTTGGTTTACATAAGTTCAATTTTTTTATAACAGAAAGCTTTTATTAAATTGGACTGATAATTTGAGTGTAAGTATCAAATATTAAATGATGATAAAAGTGAACTCATTCTCCAGCTAAGTTGGGTTATTCCTTTGCAATTACTTTTTAGAACTTGAGTATGAAATCTGAGCCTTTAGAATTCTTAATACTAATTAAGTGATAGCTAAACGTCATAAGAATAAATTTACGTAACTGTTTTTTTAATGTCATGTTGCTTTTTTTTTTTTTTTTGGTGCTAATTTTATGTGAAGCACGGTGAGCCTTACCTAGGTTGGGGTACTGCGTTATATAAGACAACTATAATAATAATAATAAGATGCAAGGCTGTTGCTTGTGCATATGGCTCATCTGAAATTCATTATGTACATTGTCGCATTCAACTAAAATGTTATTTTTAATAATTCCTTAGCCACATATTTATTTCTCCATCATTTAGACTGACTTTTCTTAACTTTGACAGACCCCTTCGCCCTTTGGTAGAAGTTATTGAGAGTTGACTGTCTTCACACAAACGTTATTATCGCTTAAACTAGTTTAATTCAACGTCTTATTGCAGTAGAGTTTTTTTGGATATGTTTACCTGGATTTAAAATACACTGTCTTGGTTTTGTCAGTGCTAACAGAGGAAATTTCTCCATGTCAGCCTTGTCTAAGTCAACACTAAAAACGGGATCCATAGAGTGAAAATATTGAGGGTAAAGTAAGGGGAGGTCATCACCGTCAAAAAAAGTCCACCTAAAAAAATTTGACAATTATGGTACAGTTACTGTAAAGAATATTAAGGAATTTTATTGAAATTTCTCACCTGGTACAGATTATTACCAAATTTATCATGTTATTCTGATTTAACTCAGCTTGACATTTTCTTAGACCTGGTGTGAGAAACCCTAATGACATACGGTTAATGAAGCACTATAGTGTTGTAGTGAAATTGTTTTGATTGAATTTAAAAAATAAATAATAAAATGCTGTACTTCATGCTTAAAAAAACATTTTGCAAAGACAATTTTATTTTCCTTGAATTACAACACTGAGCTTAACAGTTCAATACTGTTGAATCTTGTCTACTGACCACTCTCTTTGTGGATAATCGTAGAATCTCTTTCTCTTTTAAAACTCAGTTTTATAAGAAGGTAAAATTTTTTTTTTTACTAAATTTAAATATTGTAAAGGCTGATCTGAGAAGGACTTTTCACAAACTTTCAAATCACCTTTTCTGGCCCTGGAACAATGCCATCCAAAAGTTAGAGGCAAAAGCATCAACATGGAGTTGGCTAGTGACACCTTTGGGAGCAATAAACAAGCTAGGCCAGCTGTCACGGTACAATGAACCAGGATGCGTTTGAAGCAAGAAATTGTCTGGGGGAAAACAATTAGTACAGGCATGATGTAAAAATGTGAAACTGACATTACTGGTAGCAATTTAAATTCCAGTTATATTTGAGTACTACTTTATTTGCATCATTTTCTCTTTGATAAATGATTTTTTTTTAAATTGCTAACATACTGGGCAGTATCATGTTTTATGACTAATTTTTTTATTAAAATCTCAATCACTTCATGAAAAGTTTTGTTACCAGTGTGTTGTCACACACTTGTGTTTTAAAAAGATTAACAGGAATTTTGTAATTTCCCCTCGCAAATAAGATTGACCCTTTAACTTTAATATAATCCCCTGATCTAATTAAAATTTATAAACAAAATCAAATTATCACTCCTAATGTCAATTTGTCATTGATAATGGGGATGCTCCTCCATAAAAAAACAGCCAATATTTCATTTGATACGTTTGCTGTCATTGCCAAATTTTAGTAATAAGTTTTTAAATGACATAAGATAGAAAATGTTGAAAACTATTGATGTAATGTAAAATATTCACCTTCAAAATATTCTGGTATAATAAGTTCTTCTGCTAGATGTGGGCAGTGTATAGGTAGACTCAGGTCAAAAAGATACTCATCTGTTTCACTGTTCTGTACCGAGTCGATAAAATCTCTTACCAAAACAGAACGACTTTCTTCTAGTTTAGCCCATTCAACAGAATAGGGCACAGCACTCTTCAGAAAAACTTTTAGGGACCCTAAGCAAAAAGATAAAACAATTTTACTTAAAATTGGTGACTTTTATTATACTAATAGTTGGCAATAGATCGTCAAATATGATGGGAAAATAATAGAATGAAAATGTGCAAATTTAAACATTGTTTTTAATACAAATTTACAAGAAAGAAATTAACAAATTAATTTTACCAAAATTTAACTTGACTTTTTCCCTTTCGACTTATTTGGACTTTCTTTCTGACTCATATATAGAAAAGCAATTTTGTTCTGACTGATTTATACTTAAATTTGGAGCATCAAAGAAATCAATTTGCCTTGACAGAATTTAATTTTTAATGCCAATGAGAACACTGTATAATGCCGATAGCATATAATCATTAACTACATCATAGCAAAAAGATTTACCAGTTTTTGTCTTAATATATTCAAAATCCCAAGGTTTCTTGGTCATAGATGAAACAACATCTAAAAGTATAACTGGTCTTTTCTTATCAACATAATTTTCTATAAATTCTTCAACAGTAAGATTTTTAGTAGATACTCTCTCCACCTGAAACATAAAAGAAATATAACATTTAATGTAATCACCGATCAGTTTCTTCAAAAGAAAGATATTAAAAGGGTAATACAGAGATTATATGTACTTCCATGAATAATTTAAATTTGTTTCATAAAGTTGAATGAGCTATGCTGGAGAAATGGCTAACATTGGCAAGAAAAATTTGCTTGTTACGTTTAAGAATTACCTCTGAGACACTTGGAAAAACAAGTGGATTATCTTTTACCTTGTTCATCATCTCACATTGTTGCATAAAAACCTTGCACTGTCTTTTTAGCTTCTCTTTGAGCCATCTGTATTCTGAATCTAGATACATAAGTCATGAATAGAAGATATCTGGAGTAATATCTTTTCTCTTAATTTTCTCTTAAACTTAAATCATTATTTAACCAGAAACATAACTGGAAAACTTTACATTGAAGAGATTTTATTATGACTAAAAATAATTTAATATAAAAAGGGAACATTTTACATTTTTTCTGTATAAAACAAAAAAGATGAGTTCTCATCCAGTTTTTAAATATCAAAAAATTAAAATATAAAAAACAGTGACTTTAAAATTAATTAAGGCTTTACTGTTTGGGCTCATGGTCACAGCCAACTTTATTTGCTCAAAGGCTTCATTGTAATTTCCCAACCAGTCCTCTACACTTGCAAGGGCTGCATGGATGTCTCCTATGTGCATGGATTTAGAATCACCAGCTTTACTTTGTAGCTGAAATCTTTCTTTCTTAAGAAATTCAATACATTCTTTTGTTCTGAAGTAAAAATTGTAAAAGTCATATATTTTAAAGACAAAATGCATGGATATTTATATCATTAATTAACATGGTATAATGGTATAAACATTTTCTTTATCATCATAGAATAAGACTTCTCAAATTTGCCAGAAAAATCAGTCATCAAACACCTCAAAGCCACCTATCAATGTGAAAAGAGTGCTAAGAGTTCAGTGATCCATATGAAAAGAAGGTCCAGTGTTACAGATTAATTTTAGAAAAAAAAAATAAAAAGAAAGAAATACAAGACACTTTTTTTAGAAACAAAATGTTTTGGATTAAAATTATAGTTTACCTTGAAACATTGTACAATACTGTATTAGGGCTTTTCGGTGCACTTGGGGCCTGATTAGTTACATGAACAGATTTATTTTTCCTTAACCACTTAGCAACTCGAACTGAAACTAACGATTCTGATACTTGTGAATCATACATGTCAGGATTCCGCACTTCATCAATACATTTCTGTTTCTTTATATTTTCTGATAAATGTCTCGAGTAAATCAAACCTCTTTGTGGTTTACTTTTACAATATTTTTTTCTGTTTTCATTTGTATCCTCATTTGGTTCAATTGTTATCGTTATAGGCCACTCAGTAATTGGAGTCACAATATCATCATCACTATAAGGATGCTCATTTGACATAATTGTAATAAAGGTCTAGAACTCTGCACACCTTTAAGTTGCACCCTCTCATCACAACAACCTAGAGTAAATGAGAATAAGCTATGGTTAAGGTTTAATATGGTTGGTAGTGTGTTGTTTCACACGTTGACAGATGACCTGTGTAATAAATAATTTAATAATAATTATTATGTTTAATGACTTAAAGTTTAACACGAGTCGTTCAGCTTAAGCGTCAGTGAAGATAAAGAGGTTGTGATATTACTGATAATTATTAAATTTGTCTTTGACGGTTAAATTTTTCTGCATCTCAATGAAATTTCAATCAATTAATGAAAATCAAGAGTTCAGTGGTTGCCTGGCAAGCCACAATGATGATGATCATTAGATTATGAGTCAAGACATGCCTGTCAAAGAAAATCACTGGCCTATTTCAGTAGTATTACTGACTATAGTTAAGTTATATATCTTTTTAATAGTAAAGACAGCATACAGGGTTCAAGTCCTGGGGAAAAAAATGATGGATCTCTCCAGAGATTCTCCTCCCCCTCCAGATATAATATGATAAATTAAATTTTAAATATGTAGGCCTATTTATTTCTTAGCATAAACAATGTTTAGGAAGACATTCCCAATTATAATAAATAATGATATATGCCTATTTAATATGTAATTATTTTTTTAGGCCTTGGCCAAAAATCTATATATAATATTATTATTATTATTATATTAAGGTCAAAAGAAGAATGAAATTAATTCTGAATAATATATGAATATGAGTGAGCCATGTAAAGTGTAAAGTAAATAAAAAGTTGAACAAGGTATGTAATGTTAAGGCTTGAAAATAAAAATACAAGACAATGATTAAAAGATGCATTTAAATTATTTAATTAAAGTTAAGCGTACGTTTCGGCTAAACGTCTTCTTCTGTTTCAGCAGACAATACTTGACTGATTGACTTAATAATACTGTCTTAGTCTTATTCTTACACTTAAATTTAAATTAACTTAATAATTAAATAAGCAACAGATGAATTTAAATTAGAAATAAAACTTATGGCTATGGGCTTACCAACTTATGACTTATGTTTTAGCTATATAGGCTATAGGCTATGGTCCAGTATGGTCATGGTAAAATAACAATACAATCATGATATTTTAAGACTTTGTAAACCCCAATATTTGTTTCCTGAGATTTTCTCTTTAACTAGCAATAATTTAATAATCTCTAATGTTGGAAACAGTTACTTCCACTTTCGATTTTACACAATTTCAAAAACAAAAAAACACAAAATTATTTTTAAAAATTAAAAAAAATTGACACAATTTCAATTAGTATTAAGCCTAAAAAACCAAAAGCATTGACTTTGAATAAATCTGCATTATAAAATGATCATACTATTCATACGAATATTATTTTTATGCTATTTCGATCTTTAAATATCTAAATGAATGTCCTATTTTGCAACCTATCTTGATCTGCTTAAAATGTACCGATAAACTAAATAATTTATCAGTCCCTTACAGAGCCTCAAATCATAACTAATTCCAATAGTTATTTTGAAAAGTTTGAGGTAAACGCAAATTTTATCCGGGTCTTTGCATCATGGAGAACTAGATTGTGTGTTCACCCTAATTCATGTGCTTACCAATGTTTATAGAATTGGGCATTCTAATAATTCTGTTGTTTTTTAGCAATGGAAAGGCGTAGAATTAGACGGAAACAAGGCAATACACACATTAGCCTTGCAGCAATCAAGCAATATCTCCTTTATGGGACCTACCCTTCTGGGTCTACACCGTCTGATAAACGGTCGGTGCGGAAGAGAGCAGAGAGCTTTAAAATCGAAGATGGAGAACTTTATTATATTGTCCGACCAAAGCGGGTTGAAGGAGAACCGCTTGATCAAAACCCTGGTGCAAATAAGGCTAATCTGCGGAAAGCAATTATTACACCAAAAAATCAATTGTCTGTGGCTTCTTTGGTTCATGTCCAAGGCGGAGGTAGGTCTATTTTGCCAGGGTCACCATTTTGTGGCGTCACTTTTAAATTGGGGGTCTTTCAAGTTTTAAAGAATCATTTCAATAAAAAGGGAATTTAGCAATGAGAATTTAAAAGTCAATGTTAGTGTTGATTGTAAATAAATGCTTTAAATATTAGACAAGCAACAGATTAATTTCCAGGCGCTAAGGTTAAAAAGCCAGAGAAAGAGAGCTACCTCTCCCCCCCCACCAAGCAGCTGCACTAGCCCTAGGCTCTAACTCTAGGCCACTTACTCTTACTAATAAGTCAATAACTTAGTAATTAGTATTAAAAATCCTCATAAAATAATTATAATTTGGCCTAAGCCCAGTAAAGTCTATTGAGATTGTAGGGCAATCCTCCGAAGTCCGGTCCCAAATTATTTCGTACCGGTATGAAAAAAATCCAATGCACAGTGTTTATTGTTAGAAAACAGCAGACATGTCAGTCCTAGCTTTTGCAAATAACTGTCACTTTACAAACCAGTCAGTAAATATTAAATATTGTATCTGGCGCATAGCATTTGCAAATACCAGCCGAAAACGTTCTGCTTGTGACTGTTCCACCACTGAAAGGCCCCCAAGTAGCTGGCAGACAGACCGCGACCAGTACCACTCTGATAGCGGAGTTTTCGTTTCGTTTGTATCCAAAGACCTTCAATATTTTAAGTGTGAATGTCCTGGTCTACTGGATCAACAAATTCACACGCGCGCAGATGACAGTTTGTGCATAAATCCCGTTGTTGAACTGACCAACATTTTGATATCCTCGCCAAAGCGTCCGTGACGATAGCTGTCCCTAGTAACACATGATTAGTGATAATGCGCTGAGTGTTTGTGCATCTCGACGGCCAACAACCTCCATCCAACATCGTCCACAACCGCAAACATGAATTTTAAAACAACATGATGTCTAAGACTTTTAAGTAAAGAGTAATCATTGGAAATAATTTGGGACCGGACTTCGGAGGATTGC